GTGTTTTTTTTTCTCCTTTTCCTATACTGACAGCTAAGAGACTTAAGTAAGAAATTGGGAAGAAAAAAAAAACCACTTTGACATCAACAGACATTTAATGCTGGAAATAAAAAGTCAAAGGGATAATAAAGATTTCTGGATAATTAAAAGCTTTTGAAAACAGAAAACAGGAAAGGAGAGAGGAAGAATAAAAGGGCAAGATCTGGAAGGGAGGAGACTGCCTGGAATTAAAAAAGAACTTATAGCAAAATCTCAACAAGACTTCCAAAAAATACATTCTAACTGAAATATCGCAACAAAAACCCCAGAAAGAGAAAGTCGAAAAAGAAATAAGAAGATATAACTCGGGACTATCTGGATTACTTGATGATTTCTGAATTCTTGGTTATTGTTTTGAATGACTAAAATCAATCGGGTGGTTGTTTAAAACTGTTTAAAATGGCTCCACTTTTAGAAGAACTGAAAATGGAACTTAAAAAGTACAAAGAAGATGCACAAGAAGGGAGAGGTTCTTTTGGCTTCGTATTTCAGTTCTTAGAAATGGAGATTTGGAATTATGAGAAACAACAAGAAATGCCTGCAGAACAAGAAGATTGCGACAAAGAAGAAGCCATCTTTAATGAACAAGTAATCTTAGATGGGGGGAAAAAAGGAAAGGGGGGAAAGAGAATGGAAAGTTTAAGATTGGGAAAAACAACTCCAAAAAAAAAGAGTGAAAAATAAGTATAAAATCAGAAAGCAACAGAAGTGGAAAATGCAGAAGAAAGAATTGGAAATAGAGAGACAAGGGGGTAAAAAGGGGAGGGAGAAGATGAGAGGGAAGAAAGAAAGGAAAAGAAGTCATAAAGGACAGAAAAAAAATACAGAGAAACAGGGCCAATTTAGAGATAATGGGTGAAAATTTAATGGAAAAGGGGATTCTGCAAAGGTTCATAAGATAGTATGGTTATATTAGAAACAGAAATAATTTTAGAAAATATGAAACAATGTATGATTAAAATGTCTGATAAAATAGCTATTGTAATTCAGTGGAATGCTTGTCAATAAATAAATGTAATAAAAGGTGTATTTAATGATTTATAAAACATACGTGAAGAGAAATAAGGGAAAAATTAATTATGGAGATTATATGTGTTTTTAAGGAAGTATGATATTTAATTGAAAAGAAGTGTCAAAGGTGTTAAGATTTTAATGATTATTAATGATAGAACTGAACTGGAACAGAATGAGGGTTTATAATTACATATATTTACAATCTTTTTTTTAAAAGAATATAGTGTGTATTATAAGAATGTACCAAGCAGAATTCGATTGGAAGTTATGTATTATGTATTATATTGAAGGTCATAACCTTAAGGTATATATTGAAGTTTAAATAAGAGTTGAATGGATGTAATTAAAAGATATAAAGGTGTCATACTCCAATTAGTAACTACAGGAGAAAATTTGTTTAATGAGAAAAGATAATATGAAATTGAAACAGAACAGACAAAAGTATAAATATAATGATTTGAACTGAGATGAGATAATCAAATTAAAATCGAGAAAATCAAAAGAGGGGAAAAACTATATAGAAAATGTTAAATAGATAAGGAATAGAATACAAAAAGGAGCATGAAATTGAGTTTTGTGTCTGTATAAAGAAATTCAACCCAGGACCATGCTATTTTCAAAAAAGATGTTTTACTTGTATTTTGTATGTGTGAAAACCCAAATAAAACTTTATTTAAAAAAAAAAGTCCTGAAGCTGAGAACAATTTGAGAGCTCTTACAAGGGAAGATATATAAGCAAAACCCCACAGGGATAGCAGTTGTGGGGAAGAAGGGAATGGTGGAAAATATGACTACTCATTAAATTGTAGTTATCCAGCTGGTGGCCTGGAAATATGTTACCTGTCAAGAAGTACTTGTTCATGCCCACATGCCCACCATCGCACATATCCAATGCCATCTTCTTCAAGCTACTTCTGCATATGAGATGTGCATGAGTCAGATGCAATTGTCTGCATATGTATGAGAGTTATTTTTTCCCCAAGATCCTTAATTTATATTCAATTTTAAAATCCACCAGAAATGTAAGGAAATGGAGAATTACTATTAATGATTCAGTGTGACTATTGAACAATTAGCATCAGGGAAAAATATAATATTCAATTTGATTTAATTTTCCTCCACCACAATCCCTTTTAAAATTACGATATGGACCTGGAGCAACTCAAAACCCAAAGAAAATTGCAGAGATCTGCTTTAAGCAAACAAAGGCAATTTTTTACATATCAGTCTAGTGGGATCTATCCCTTGAAGAGTCAAGTGCCAGATTGCATTGAAAGGTAATAGTCTGGCCTGATTCTTTTCCTAAAGGTTTTTTTTTAAAAACATTTTTAACTTTTGGGATATTTAGGACATATCTAAAATGTAAAAATGTCTAAAATGTCAAAAATAGAATGATAAAAGATATGTATGACCCATACAGCACACAAATAAAGTTTGCATGCCTAATAGTACCCATACATGAATGCATTTGGCTAAAATGATGAATTTAGCTGATGAGTTGGATACAAAAAGTGGAATGATGATAACACTGAAATAGTCATAAATGTAAACCCAACTGTATCCCTCACCAATCAAAGTAGGATTGCTTTTTATCCCAGTTTAAATCCTGTGTTCATACTACAATCAAGACAGCTTCATTTGCGCATCTAATCTAGCTAGTTTTGATTCTGTGTTTTAACTTAATATGATGATTGATGCCTTTGAATTGTAAATTTAACAGATAATTAGAATTGGAAGGGACCTTGTAGGTCATCTAGTCCAACCCCCACCCAAGCAGGAGAACCTACACCATTTCTGACAAATGGCAGTCCAATCTCTTCTTGAAAGCCTCAAGTGATGGCACTCCCACAACGTCCAAGGGCAAGGTGCTCCATTGGTTGATTGTTCTCACTGTCAGAAAGTTTCTCCTTATTTCCAGGTTAAATCTCTCCTTGTTCAGTTTCCATCCATTATTCCTTGTCTGGCTTACAGGCGCTTTAGAAAATAGCTTGACCCCTTCCTCTCTGTGGCAGCCCCTCAAATATTGGAAGACTGCTATCATGTCTCCCCTGGTCCTTCTCTTTACTAGACTAGCCAAGCCCAGTTCCTGTAAGTATGTTTTAGTCTCCAGTCCCCAATCATCCTGGTTGCTCTTCTCTGCACTTTTTCTAGAGTCTCAACATCTTTTTTATTGTGTGGTGACCAAAATGGGATGCAGTACTCTAAGTGTGGTCTTACTAAGGCTTTATAGAGTGGTATTAGTACCTCCCTTGATCTTGATTGTATCCCTCTGTTAATGCAACTTAGGATTGCATTAGCTTTGTTGGCTGCTGCTGCAGACTGCTGGCTCATATTTAGCTGGTTGTCCACTAAGACTCCAAGATCCCTCTCACAGTTACTGCTTGAGTGTGGGAAATATTAATACAGAACACTTAATTCTTCTGAGGAGCAGTGAACAAGTAGATTCAGGAAGAACTGAATCTGGAGACACAGTGATTCAGACTAGAAAAGGGCTAAGAATATATATTGTCCTCCTATCCATTTAACATACACAACAAATATATTTTGGTAGGAATGGAAAATATGACAGCTTGAAAAACCTGAAGACTGAAACATCAACAATTTATGATATGCAGATAATACACTCAGCTCAACATATTTCTTTGAAAAATCTTAGACACCTTCATTGTGAAACTGAAACTGGAAGTGAAAAATCCAAACTGAAGTTCAATACTAAAAGGCAAAGTTTATGCCAACCAGCACGTCATTTCAACAGCAACGAAGAGTAGCATAATGTTTATCTTTAAGGGTTATCAATGCTAATATACTCTATAAAACTGGATCCTGAGAACGAATGAGAAAAAGAAGATCGAGTTATATATATGCAAATATGCAAAAACAAAACTTTATTAGAATTTCCTTGGAAGATATAACAGTAATTACTAAATAAAAGTCAAAAGGGCGAGCATTTATCCATACAATCACTGATTCATCATTCTGTGTCCCCCCCCTTACCCCTCCCCACAGATACCACTAATTCGGAGTAAAATCCACTTGAAAACATTTAACTTCACTGTGCAAAGCCAGCCTTTTCAGATAAATTATATTCAAGATGTTTGCAAACCAAGAAACTAAACTGAAACAATAACAAGGTAAGGAATCTTGTACGACCGACCAACTAATATGCTGCAAGGTGCAAAGGTTTTACCTCTGGTTCTTCACCTTCCCACCATTTCATCCCATTAAAAGGAATGATAGCAGCCATATAGTCTGCTTGGCTACATTTCCATGCTTTTGCCCCTGCGCAGAATAGGGCTCTCTACCTAAGCAGTAGGAGAGGGAGCAACCTTTATTGATTGATGCCAGCATCTTTTTAAAACTAGCTGGGGTGGGGGGAGGCTACACCTATGGGTATAGTTCTTGTACACACACACACACGGAGAGCGGGGAAGAGGGAGAGGGAGAGGGAGAGAGAGAGAGAATAAAGAATCCTCTTGGGTAGTCCACCTGCACTCTTAATTAAAGAAGAGGTGTTACTCACAAGCACCCACCCCTTTTTGGAAATTTACTCCGCTCCCAACTGCCGCCCACCCGGTTGATTCCAACACCTGGGGACCATTTCCCCTCTCCTCCTTCCCCCAAACCACAGCGGTGTCCAACTCGTCAGATCTTTAAGGCAGGCTTTGCACTGAGAATGGCACCGGTTGGGGAAGCCAGGGCTAGCACGGAGTCCCTCTCGAGTCCCTTTCCCGGCGGGGGCGAGCGGTTTGGGAACCGGGCTTGGAAGTGGGGAGAAAGGCGAAGGGCATGAGTGGAGGGGGGAGGCGCCGGGACCTCGGACAGCTCCTCGCCCTTCCTCCGCGCCCCCCCCCCACCCCATCCCATCCTCCTTCGGCTGCGCCGTACGTATTCTCTGGATTATTTTGATCGCAGCCCCGGAGCCCCCTGCCTGCGTTGGCGACCGCTCCGAGCGGCTCCTCCTCTTCCCCCGGGAACATCCAGCAAGAATCCAGGCCGGGAGATTTGACGTCAGGGAGCGCTTTCGTCCTTTTGACGTGGAAGCCACTCATTCCCATTCTGGCCGTGGCGGCTCCGAGCCCGGCTCCAGCATGAGACGAGCGGAGAGCGAAGGAGGAGACGGCGGCGAGGCACTTTCTTAGCAACTGCCCGCTCCTTCCTCTCCCGTAGCAACCGGAGCCCAAGGGGACTTTCCTCGCCTTCTCCAGCCCAACCATTCCCGACTTCTTCCGCCTGCCTCGTAACACGCTAGAATTCATCTCCTCTCCCCCACCAACCCCGCCACGGAAAGTATCCCTCCCTTTCGCTCTGCCGGGGCCATGGAAAAGAGATGCCGGGCAGGGCAGGGCGTGATCGGGGCTCTCCTCTGCGCTTGGACGGTGGTCCTGCTGGCCAAGGCAGAGCGGCAGTTTGTCAATGAATGGGCAGCCGAGATCCCCGGAGGTATAGAAGCGGCGCGGCTCATAGCAGACGAACTGGACTACGAACTTCTGGGACAGGTAAGACGCCACCTCTCTCCTTTCTCCCTCCCGCCCGCCCTCCCTTCTTTTTCTTGTTTTTTCTTTTCTTCTTTTAAGTCGGGCGACTTTCCTTTTTCCCGAAGCAAAGAGAATGAGAAACGGCGGATAAGGGATCCTGCGATTGGCAAGGGGGTGCAATTGGTAAGGAACTGTTGCCTCTTTTGGTTTGGGATGAGCGCTCCGCACCTTTCCCAGCAATCTTTCCCCGAGTTACTCTGCCTTTAAAGGTGCCTGCTCCCTCGTTGGTATTTGATGCCGTTGTTGTTGTTGAAACGAACAAGAAGCAAGTGGGTGAGAAGATGAGAAACTTTTGAGTTCTTTCCCACTTCTCGCCTGCCCCATCTTCCTCCTTTGGAATTGTCACCCCTGGCTGTCTTGTCACCTTGCCCCTGCTCCATTTTCCCCTTGAACGGGCATTTCGTTATTTAGCCAGCTACCACTGGAACTGTCCACGCCAAGCGACCTACAAGGATTAAAACAACAGCTATGACCAATAATAACCCACGGAGTAACCCCTAAGGTAAAATAGCCCACCCCAATCATGACAGTGGAGGCTAAGGAGGATTTGGGGTCCAAGGCTGAGCAGGGTTGCGTATGATCTGTTCTCTGCCGAAGAAGCCCAGGTGCTGAATGGAGTAAAATCAGCAGCAGTTGCTAGAAATGGCAAAGCAGGGAATTAGGTGATAGCCCCCTGGGAACTCCACTTGGCTTGGCCTTAACCCTTTCTGCTGCTCAAATGCCACCACCGCTGAATTTCTGAATGCTGAGGTTCCTGAGCTCCCGCAGATGAGGTCTGTAGGGGGCATGCATAAGCGCACCAACGTAAGCGCACCATCCCTGTCCTATTGTTTCTTTTATTTTTCTTATTTGTATACATTTCATGTATTCATAGCCATGTTTATATACTTAGACCTGTTATCTAATAATTGCTTGACAAAATAAAATAAATAAATAAAAATAAATAAATGGGGTGGCTTTAGCTTTAGCAGCAAAAGACAAGACTATTTCTAGGTTTGGGATCTCCCCTATAGATCCCAAACAACAGACATTTGAAATTGCGTAAAAAGGAATCACCAGTCAGAAGTTCTGGGCAAAAATAAGTTTCAATATTTTCTCCCTTTACTTGAAAAAAGCACAGTGATCAAGATGTAGGAGGCTAAAGGCACAGCTACATTTAGTAACCCCTAGTCTCTATACTCCACTTTTTTTTTCCTCAGTAAGCTCTCTCTAACATCTGTTTCCTCTTCTATCATCTTGATTTGTTTGTTTAGCCAAGCTTTATGGCGTGGGTACATAACATGCATAACATGTGATGATGTGTGTGAGAGAGAAAGAGTTAAGTATATGGTGAATGACTCCTCACCAGTTTATAAATGTCTATTTGGCAAATAAAAGTATGCAAGGTCTGATTCACTGCTGCCTGAGATGAAGCAGCTCACTGCGTTATACATTACAGCACGCTGTCAAAATTGTATTGGCAACAAGTCAGACAAACAGAAGAAAAAACAAAGACAAAAAATTCAAAGATGTTACAGATTTACTGGCTATATTCATCTATATACCAGAGATGGAGAACCTTAGTTTCTACAGCTGCTGGGGATATGCCCAGTGCTGGAAACTAATTTAGCAATACATGGAAGATTCCAACCCCAGTATATGTCAGCCCATCAGTCTATACCATTAAGGAATCACTCATATTAAAGCTAATCTTTCAAATAATGCAGCATAATAAATTGCTACAAAAGGATTGCAATTGGTCAATTGCAATTAATTACAATATGCAATCTTCAATAAAAATCTATTTATTGGTAAATCATTGTAGCTATGCATACTCCCATCATCCGTTTTACTTCTTTAGCAAATTAATTCAGACAATACTCCTATTTAACAGCGAATACTGAATTTGAAACTGTGATCAGCACTTGTCACAATAAATTTCATTAAAATTTAGAATTCTGACCTTACCTCTCAAACTTGGTTCATTGTATACATTATAATACATGTTATGCAGTCAAACACACATTCTCTCCCTCTCTCTCTCTCCCTCTCTCCCTTCCTCTCTTGAAACAGGAGGATAACGTATGCATTGCTCATTTTGTACACTTTTCTCTAAATGTGCATTTTAATTTATGTAATGCCACTATTCTGCAAGTACTAGTACATTTATTCCAGCACAAACAAATTAGGAAAAATTGGAAGAGAATATGATTTTAAAAAATAAAACATAGTCTATGACATCCACTTATTTTCTTTTGAGAAAATGTCTGATACAGTTGTAGTAATATCAAGTCACCAATTATCTAATTCCTCTCCCATGCAAATATCTTATATGCTATATAACATAAATCTAATTTATCACTGAGCTTATGTCAAACTACCTTTGTAGTCCTGCATGTATATCCATGATTCCATTATGAACATAACCAATGTGTTTGTTTCTTTAATAGTCTTTTTATGATTTGTTCAATATTTTTGTTTGATTTTAAATAAAATGGAATATGGAACTTGAAGAGGAAGGATATACATCATTATGAAGCTAAATCATATCTAAATACAACACTTAACTGAGAAGAAGCTAATTGGGAAATAAAACAAATAATGATGAATACTTTCTCTGAGCTATCAGGGCCAGTGCTAAAGCATGAGATACATAACATGAGTTTTATGGAGTTGATGAATTACTTATAGCTATAGCATGGAGCACATACATAGATATATATACACCACTAAATCAGAAGCATTTCGTTCTTAGTAGCAGCCATTCTACTTTCATGATATCTGAATAAACCAACTTCTGTATTTCTAGAAGCTCACATTTTCTATCCCAATTAAAATTCCAGTAAAACAATTCATATTGAACAGAATGTAGATTAACTAGATTGCTATTTAACTGAAAGTAAAATCATTCAATCACTAATATGCATTTAAAAATTTCCTGTATGAAAGCACTGAATAAAGAAACAACTGATAGAATATTTATAGCTCACAGTTGACCTGTGAGGTCTTCAGTGCTCTCTGAGCTTGGTTGTTTTCTTACAGACATTTCATTACCAAACAAGATAACATTATCAGTGTATAGATTTTTACACAGAAGAAAAGAAAGAAGACATACTCATTTATTGAAATGTTTTTAAGTAATAGCAAGATTTAGATCAACATTCCACAAATAAATTTCTTGTGGAAACGTTAAGGACTTGATCACTGTATAGTAAAAATAACATTTCAGAACAAGCAGCCATTTTTGCCATTCTATTTATTTAAGGCTTGAAGAGTTAACACAAAGACATTTCATGGAAAAACATATAGGGAGAAATATCAGTACCTGACCATTTAATTATAGCAAAAGTTAATAGTTAAAACAATTCTACCATACATTTTAGCTAATCTTAGATTTAGTTATTGTGAACTGATGATGAGAATGATAGGAACTAAACACATTGTATTCAGGTTTCATATATTAATTCTATTAATATCACAAAGAATAAAACTTCCTAAAATCACTAATTCTGGAGGAGGAGGAGAGATTATTACAGGATACAAGAAATACACAACCAAGAACTAAGGGCACAGATTACTGTAATGTGCTCTCCTCAAGTCCTGGAGATGGTGGAAAAATATGCCAATATAAATTGCATTCTCCCATAAATTAGAGTAGTTAGTCCTATGGTTCTAGCAATTTTGATGGGTAAAGTGAAGACAGGTAAAATTGATAGATTTCCCTGGTTTTGTTTCCCATCCCACTGAGCATTACCCTCTGGTAGGAAAAACAGCTACTAATTGCTCTCCTTAAAGTTTGATGGGATGGGGTGCAGAACTGCTCAGAACCTTTATACTCTGCCAGTCAGGAAATTTCTAAATATGAGTCTAGCACTCTTTTGAAGCAGCACTAAACCCGTGCTCCAAGGTAGATTGGTTAATAAGTCTTAGGTGCAGAGGAGAAGTAGAAGATGAAGTGGAAGGACCCTCTCTTAACACGTTGGGAAATGGAGACTTGGCGAAATTAAATGAAAATGGCACAATGAACCTTAACATAATTTAGTGCAAAATTAGCAATTTAGGAAACACAATCAAATGCACAGAGATAGACTGTAGCTTGGTAATAGGAGATGTGAAGAAAAGTTTGAATAGAATATTTTTTTATATTTATATATTTCAGTATTAGAGATTGGACAATCATTTATTTGAAATGGTATAGGGTTTTCTGCTTGAGCAGGGGATAGGACTAGAAGACCTCCAAGGTTTCCCCCAACTCTCTGTTATTCAATATTACTTTGATATCGAGTTTGATGCAGAGATTAAAGGTACTGAGCTAAAAGCCGGGAGACTGTGAGTTCTAGTCCTGCTATAAATGTGATATGTTGACTTTTGGCAGTTACTGTCTCAACCTAAGGAAACGGCAACAATGGCAAAGCACTTCTTGAAAATGTCCAGAAAACATTATGAACTTACCCATGTGGATACCAGCCATTAAGGCTGACTCAAAGTTTCGATAGATACAGAAGAAGATAGATGGGTGGATGGATGGATAGATAGATAGATAGATAGATAGATAGATAGATAGATAGATAGATAGATAGATAGATAGATAGATAGATAGATATGATAGAGATGATAGAGATGATAGAGATGATAGAGATGATAGATAGAGATGATAGATATAGGGGACAGAGAGAAAGATAATAGAGATAAATGATAGCACATACATAAATAGACATAGACAAAGATAGATGATAGAACATAAACAGGAACAATAATATGATACCAATGCAAGAATACTTTCAATTACAGTACAAAACCCCATCATTCTAAAACACTATATCATTCATCTTTCACAAAGAGCCATAGTTGATCAGTCTTTAAAACAAGCATGTTTTGACAGGCTTTGGGAAAGCCATAATAATGGAAGTGAATCCTCACTTAGGGCAAGGAGTGGGAAAAGGAGAACTTTTCAGAAGAACAGAATCCACCCAGAGAATGCTTTTTCACCTCTGGTTGATGGAGACCAGTCATATGGAATTTACAGTATCTCAATTTCATGGATACCAAGGTACTTAGCTGCCTAGGTGATACTCATAATTTGAATTACAACAGTAGAAAATGCAGTAAGGAAGCTGTCCCATAAGTAGACCAGCTTGTTGATCTAGTTGAAGTTTATGTGTTCTTTTCACAGGTAGTTCCAAGCAAAGTATATTGTTGTTGTTTGTCGCAAAGTCATGTCTGACCCATTACGACCCCATAAGCAACATTCCTCCAGGCCTTACTGTCCTCTACCATGACCCAAATGACCTGACAAGCACATGAATAACCCTCTTCAGGACCTTCTACTGTATTTGGTTGGGCAAAGGCCTTCCTGGCCATGACCAAGAATCTACATGGTGCCTTTCACAGCTAAATTTGATACTGTCTCTGAATTACCAGACTTCTAAAATCATTCTGACTTGCTTGGACTGAGCAGTTTCATGCCATTCAGACACTACCAGATTCTAAATATCAACTCTGAATTTCCACTATGTTCTACAGTAAATTTAAAAATGAATACTTTATTCAAATTGACAGTATGATATGGCTGCAAAAGAAAAAAAGAAGGGGGTGTATAGTTTTAGACTGCGTTAATAAAACATGGTTTCCAACTCATGGGAAATAATTTTGTCATCTTTAGTCAGATCTTTAAAAAAGATTTAATGAAACTGGAGCCAGTTCAGAGTAGTGAGAATAATAATGGAACAAGAAAATAAGTCCTATGAAGTTAAACTGGGAGAAGTGAATGTGTTTAATCATAAGAATAGGCTAAGAGGGTGGGATATGATTGTATTCTAAAATATCTGAACAAATATCACACGGAAGAGGGTTAAGACTTGTTTTCTATTGTCCCTGGATACAAGATCCAGAATAATGGACCTAAATTTCCAGAAAGCATATTACATGTACAAGCCCATTCCAAATCCTACTAAGAGATGGTTAATAAACCATCTTCTTCATTGGACATGTTCAGGCAGAGACCAGAAATCCATCTATTGATATTGTTATAATTTGATTTCCTGTTCTTATCAGCAAATTGAAATTAAGAGCATGTATGAATTCTTTGTCTTTGTAATTCTGTATTATATATTTGACAACAATAAAAAGAACTAAGAATAAAATACTTTCACTAGCGGAAAGAATTTATGATAGTGAGAACAAAAAAAATTAAACAAAATTTTCAGATAGAAGTCTACAAATAGTAATAATTGAAATTTTAAGAAAGTACTGATATTAGGGACAATTTCACTAATGTGTGTACATAGACTTGTACACACACTTTTCAATGTGTGTACATAGACATATCATGAGGGAAATGGAGCTATTGAAATCAGTGGGATTTATTCTTGAGTGAACATAATTAAGAGTTCTGTGAAATTTGGAGGGAGAAAATGTACCTAGTAACATATACTTAAACTTTTTCAGGAAGAAGAGAAAGTCAGAGGAACGCTGTGCTATAAACCATAGAGCTTCCTAGCTCCATACATAATGTAGCTAGAAACTATTTTGGTGGCAATGGAGAAGTGGGGGAAAAGAGGAGGGAACAAAAGGACAAAAGCAAGCCCCACCTCTTTTGTGCATGCATTCTGACATTGCACAATTCATGAACGGGAAAGAGCTTACAATAAACACCCTGGTGCTACTTTTTATCATTCTGAGAACAGCAACAATCTCCTGTAGATGACCATGTCCTATTTGTTTCTATTTATTCTTAAAATAAATTTAATCACATGTTCCTATTTGGTCCATGTTACCATTAAATAAAAACAATTCATTTTCATTTTTATGCAAATATATGCAAGATTTAAAAGTACTAGTAGAACATAATATGAGCCAGCAGTGTGCAGCTGCCGCCAAAAAAGCTAATACAATCTTGGGTTCTATAAACAGTGGCATAGAATCAAGATCACGTGAAGTACTAGTACCACTTTATAAAAACTCTAGTAAAACCAGATCTGGAATACTGCAACCAATTTTGGTCACCATACTACGAAAAAGATGTTGAGACATTGGAAAAAGTTCAGAGAAGAGCAACTAAGACTAAAACATATGAAGAACAGCTGCAGGATCTGGGTTTGGCTAGTCTAAAGAAAAGAAGAATTAGGGGCAATATGGTAGCAGTATTCCAGTATTTGAGGTGCTGCCACAAAAAAGAGGGTGTTAAATTATTCTACAAAGCACCAAAGGGCAGGACAAGAAAAAAATGGTTGGAAACTAACCAGAGAGAGAAACAACCTGGAATTAAGGAGAAAGTTCCTAACAGTGAGGAGATTTAACCAGTTGAATAGTTTGCCTTCAGAATTGTGGGTGGTCCATCACTAGAGGTTTTGAAGAAGAAACTAGACAGCCCCTTATCTGAAATAGCATAGGTTCTCCTGCTTGAGAAGGGGACTGGACTAGGGGATCTTCAAGGTCCCTTCCAGCTCTATTCTATAATTCTGCTCCCTGACCCTTTGTTTTTAAAAGACATTTTATTAGGCAATTATGTATTGCTGCATGGTTTCAGCTCTTAAAGTAAAAGGATTTCTGTGCAGTTTTGATTGTTTCTTGATGTTGTGCATTATGGGAAAAATATCTCAAAAGTGTTTTGTACTTTGCAGATTGGACTCCTGGAAAATCATTATCTATTTAGACATAAGGACCACCCTAGAAGATCTCGACGAAGTGCTTCTCATATCACTAGACAACTCACAGATGATGATCGTGTAAGTAGTGCATGTATGCTTTAGTTTCTCCTAGACCAGCAATTCTAAACCCAATTCTAAGTGAGTAAACTGTTCTCAATATACTGTAGAAACTGTTGCCTCCAAATAATTACATGTGTGATTGCCTGCCAGTTTGCTATTAAGTCATCAATTCTGTGCACTAGGAAATTATGTGATATAATCCTTCAATAATTGAAAGATTTCTGATAATTATCATATTTATATTTCATACTTTTTATCCAAAGATCTAAAAAATATGTGTATATTGTTTCCTGTTTTGACCCTGAGACTGATCAAATCTTAATCTAGACCACATTGGGACATTATATTTGAAAAGTGACATCTTAAAATGAAGAAATTGTAGCTGTTGGTTTTTAAAACTGTGCAAGCACATGAAATTCCAGAAAGCACAATCAAGTAGAAAGACGGCATTTCTTCATTTATGAATTTGCTCGTATTTATCTCTGGATCTCTTCTTTTACATGAATATCTCTAGAAACTGACATCAAATGCGTATCCCCTTAAAGTTATGATTCTTACGTAGTTACTTACCAAGCACATCTAAATTATATTACAGTAACAAAAAAAAACCTTTACAACCCCAAGGCATGTCACAATTTTTGAGCACCCCTAATGCTTGGAAATCGAAAGTTGAAGAATTTGACACACCCTAATTGCTGCATTCCTGTTCACCTAACAATCAATTTGTTTCTAACAGTACATGCAATAACACGATATGCAGTAATTAACTGGAAAAACATCAATTGAAAATACATGTTTCAGAATGAATAACTTCAAAAAAGAAGCCATAAAACCTGGTTTACAGGTTTTTCTCATATCTGGAGTAGGGGGGTATTTGCATTACAGTGGGTCAGAGGGCAATGTTATTGAATGGCCACTGTGGTTTCTTGCTCTATTTGCCACCTTTATTCATTCAAAAGGTCTCCAAAATCGAGAAAATTAGTTTCACAGTGCTAAATTCAAAAGCAAAGAGTTACCAAACAAGGACCATTTTTTTCTAAGTGTAAAGTCTCCTTTAAGTCAAGCTTGACTCTTGACTCCTAAGTGGTGCACTCTTGCGGAAATAATTGCTTCAGAATTTGAAAATTTGTCACAGTAATTTCTGCTTTGACTGGGCTGAAAAACAATGCAAAATGGGTGTAAATCAAAAATGTCAAGCCACTGTTGATATGTACTGTAGGTGTGCCTGTGAAATCATTAAGATGCATTATGTCTTATTCTTGCCTCTAATTTTTCTTTGCTGTTTCTCTGATCACCGGGTTCCTAATAAATGAGTTGTATCATTTATTTTGTAGAAAACATATTTTCAATCATGTGAAGTAATTTTGTACTGCACAAGACGTCTTGGATCATCATTGGCATTTAAATTCCTCACTGTCTTTGAGATTTTTTGATGATTCTGTGGCATTTAATTCATAACTGGAAACATCACATGAATGGTATTCCTACTCTAGAAAAATAATCATGTGCCCAAGCCAAGCCCATTTGAAGCCATATTATATCCTCACGAAAATAGCTTCGCTAATACAACAATTCTCCTTTTTAAACACAATTAGAGATATGGCTCTGTGCCTTTCTACTTCATCTTGTTCTTTTTAACAAAAATATTTTATCTTTCATCTTCGTCTTTATTTATCCTGCTCTGGGATTTAAAACTAGGGCTTCAAATTTCAGGCAACAGTTGTGCTGGGGAAGATATCATATTTGGCCTTGTTAGAACTTGAAATGCTGCTTTAGCAACATTTCAAGCACAACAGTGAGTGGGTTTTGATTCCTACCATCACAGCAGCAACAACCAAAGGCCTGAATGAGAAGATCTTTCCTAGGTAGAAGTGTTAAGACTGATCCTAGAAAGAGGCAGAATGAGGTAGCAGTTGCTTTGCATGTCAGTAGCTGCAGGGTAGGTGAGGAAAAAGTAATTGCTAGGATTAGAGGCTATTGCTGGATAGTCAAAACTACACTGTATCCTTAAGCCAGCTTGCTGCCTTTAGGAAATATGATCAGATGAACAATATGACATTTTCTGCACATGGATTGAAGAACTACTATCTTATCCTTTACCTTGAGTAGCAGAAGCCATGGGAAAGAGGCAGAGAGTCCAGATTAGATTTCTGGTCCATGTTGTAAGCATACCAAATTTGTATTCCAAACGATGTTATTGCAAAAATCAGCGGGGTCTTGACTTCCCATGACAAAATTCTTGACAATGAGGAATCCCATGGATTGTACATACGTAATACATACATTTTATAATAAAAACAAGGCAAATTAAAATAAGGCAGTATCATTCATTTTGATTCTTGGATTATGGATCATGACTTTTGGATCAAAGATACTGCCTTCATGTCAGGCTTCAGTGCTTTTTAATATCCTTTTAAAATTAAAGACCAAGGGCTGGATTATCAAAATGGAATTTGGTTTCCCAAAATAATAAAGTAAGACCTATAATAAATTAGCAGTATAATTTTAAAAATCTGTCAGTAAATAGAATATATGCTCCACTTTAGGACTGTAGTATCTTTTTCATTTATGTACTTATTCTTTGTTATGACCTCATAGTAAGAATTTAATAAATGTGATTTCTTTGCAATCACATTCAGTCACAGTGTCATGCTGATAACATATCAACTGCAAAGAACAACTCTGCTTCTTCCAACTGCAGTTGTTTCCTCACTCATAGGGCAGAAGCCGAACAGGTGCTCACAGTGAGAAAAACCAACCAATGTTCAACTGCCTACGTAAATTTCATGACACGCTCCTAAATATAAGTAAGATATGTTCTGCAAACCCCAGCAATTGGTTAGATACTCAGGGATAAGACATTTTTGTTGCCCCCAGATTGAAGGAACATGAAGGAGATTGATTCCTCAAAATAATGGAACACAGAATATCTATGGTTGAAGAGGGTAATCAATTTAAAAAACAAAAACTTGAAAAATACATTCCCTCAACCAATACTTCCGTCCCTGGCAAAGCGCATGCAATAATATTTAATAAATGCAATAATCATTAACTTTACTTTTTCATTGTATCAAAAATCTGCTATCTAGACAGCTTCTCTCCCTAATGTTGTGATTTTGGACTACTAACAAGTACAAACTACTACAAAGGGGGAAATGTCTTAACTATTTTTAACAGACACTTGCACAAGACTGATTTAAGCTTTGAAGATTTAGATTTAGAACAACTTCATTGTCACTTTAAATGTTCACTAATTGGCATACATTAAAATGAAATTTTGTTGCATACAGCTCTCAAAGAGTCACCACCGCCAATATACACTAAATAAACATGACAAATAAATAAATATAAACAAACAAATAAATAAAAATGCATGTACCACATATATTATATGACACAGAGAAACAACACAGTCTAGTTCAGATCAGTGGTGCTATTCTACTGGTTTGGCCTGGTTCGGGAGAACTAGTAGTAAAAAAATGCTACCGGTTCGGCTGAATTGGTATTTCTTTTTTTTTCTCCTCTTGATGATCAGCTGTTCCAACGATCAGCTGTACTGGGATCCCCCTCGCTGTCTTACTACTTCATCCAGGAGGCTTCCCTGAGGCCCAGGAGGCAAAAAAACCAGAGTGCAGGGCGGTGCTGCAAAAAAAAGAAGAAACCACGCTCACCCAGTCACATGGCCACATCCACCTAGCCATTCCCATGTAGCCACGCCCACAGAATCAGTAGTAATAATATTTGCATCCCACCCCTGGTTCAGATATATGTTTTGATTGCATACATTAGCTTAAGAAAGCCATAATAAGCCATTGATATAGTCAAGAAAACATTACAGCATCTATGGTGGGGAGGGGAGAAGGAAAGTGCAAATAGTTACAAATCCTGTGACTTATGTATTTGCATATGATGCTGGGTTGTAAGTAAAAAGGCTCGTGTTTTTGTTGTGATGTGACTGTATGCATGTTGTGATTTTTCTTATCAGTGAAACTAGTAGTGGACACCTACAGTATATGAAACATGTTTCATTTGAGCTGAGTTTCTAGAAGATTTCCAGAACAGTTTTGACATTCTGTAGCATTTGAACTCATTTGCTATGGACCAGAGGTTCATAGACTTGATTTCGTATCTCTGTACATGAACTTAAAGAAGTACTTTTGAGAAAGGCTCAATAGAAAACTCTCACAGAGGTGACATTGCATCTTTTGTTACTTCCAATTTTCCCTTTTTGACATACATGGGTATTGTAATGATTTATATTTTTGGTCACAATAAATACTTACGGTACAGCAAATATAGGCCAATATTCCACTTTGGGGTAAAGATGAAAGATGACCCATGGAATGATACTAGTGTCATACTCTGACACAGAAGTATTGCCAGCAGAACTCTACGAGATGTTCAGCTATCATTCACATCAATATATGAATATGCAGGTGCATTCACATGAAGACAAAAATTAGAACAAAGGCTTGTATACCTATCCCATAGCATTGGGGTATGCAACCTATGGCTCATGGGCTACATCCTTCCAGCATTACATGAATGGGCATAACAGTTTGAGTCACATTTTTCCACAGAGGGAGGTAAGGATTCTAGAAAGTGGCTATTTTGTCCCTTAAACTCCGCAAATTTTAAGACTCTTCAAAAGGGTCTTAAAATTTAAACTCACCCATTTAGTAATATTAATGACCTTGCTCCATATGATGATTAGATAGAGCATCTATCTACATCTTTATTCGGCCATTCTTCCATGATACTATCTTCATCTCATCTATAGTCAAGACAGGAGGCAGTCTTAAGCTGTTCTTAGCTGTAACAACGATAAAATTAGCATATGCTGTTTTACAGAAAGACTGTAATTCTAAGAAATAGTGCTTTGAGTACATTAGAAAACCTGTTGGTTATACATGGAATAAACAAGACTTCAGTGTGCATTTATAAACACAAGAACCTCCAATATTTTCTTATCTAGCTATTTCTTTATTATCTGATGCTATTTTAGGTGACTTGGGCAGAACAACAGTATGAAAAAAAGCGAACTAAACGTTTTGAATTAGGAGACTCAGCAGAAAATTTATTCAATGACCCAATGTGGAGCCAACAATGGTACCTGGTAAGAATTTGAATCTACATGTAGAATATATATATAAGAATATTTTAGTATTGCTTCATCAAGGGAGAGTATGATAATAGAAGTTGGCTTTTAGGTTATAAACTATGACATACACAATCATTTGCAGCATGTTTTATGATTTTGAAATGAAAACTGTATAGTCACAAAACTATTCTCTAGTGGAAAAATTATCTTACTGAATTTGCCCAAATATAATATATTAAAATTTGAGATAAGTAGCACTTGTGAAAAAGAGCACAAGCTTCATAAAATTCAGTAGGGAAGATAAGTATCTCAAATGAAAAGAAAGGAAGGACATGATGAAATGATGTCATTTTTTTAATCAGTCAGCCACAATGTGACTCAGCCCCTTTTTACTAACAAGTAATAATTTTAAGAGAAGATGATTTTAAGAGATTGAAATTGAGAATAAAATATAGCCACTCTTTTCCATCATGTGCTCTCTTGATTTAAATTTCATTTCTTAGAATCTTCCATATTAGACAAAAGAAGTTGGGTAAAGCTAGTATGTATAGCACTACTAGTATATGCATAGTGAAGCAATTGTATAAATGTTTACACTGAATTCAAATCAAAGCCAAATCAAATATAATATAATACATTTTATAAACCATGTTTTCTTCAATGTGCCATGCAATTCCTGTGAACTGACACAAAATTTCAGTAAAGGAGAGGTTGTTTTTTCAGCAATACTAACTAAATAAGCAGTGGCAAACAAGTTTAATAAATAAAATAAAATAGCATATCTCTGCAAGCAATATTTAAAAATAGCTTTTCTTTATGTGATATTAAATAAACACAAACTATGAGGAGCAAGTATGCTATTCATTCATTCATTCATTCATTCATTCATACAAAGAGACTTGATTGCAGCATATGTAAGGAATTAATTTTTACAGTGTGTTATAGGCCAAACAAGTTAATAACATTTGCACAATACATAAATAAATTGTCTGTCATTTCTCCTAGCAAGATACAAGAATCAACCGATCTTTGCGTAAATTGGATCTCCATGTCCTTCCAGTGTGGCAAAAGGGCATCACAGGCAAAGGAGTTGTCATAACAGTGCTTGATGATGGCTTGGAGTGGAATCACACAGACATTTACTTTAACTACGTGAGTTTAATATTTCAGTAGCAATCATTATTTTTTCATTTCCAATTTCATGATTAGATTCTTGGAATTTAAAAATATTCTTTTTTAATGATAAACATGATTGGGTGCCTTCAAGTGAATTCTTTGTCAGCTTAATCTGTAGATTCTGGGGAGAATTCAGAAGAGTTAAAAATCACATGCTGCATGATGATTGGGTAGAGAAATTCAAATATGACAACTCAATAAAACATGAGCTATTACTGATTTTAAAAAAAGAGAGAATGCTGCTACTAATATCAGTTAATGGGGAAACAAAGCTGCTATGTGCAATTGTTGGCATCCCAGACAGACATTGTTTTGACCATTGAAGAAACAAAAAGAGGGACTAAGTAAGTTTCCATTTTGGATTGCTATGAATCTTCTTATATTCCTATCACTGTTGCTTCACTTATTGGTTTATGGTTGTTACAGTTATTTTCTTGATTAACATTTAGGATCCTGATGCAAGTTATGATTTCAATGACAATGATCATGATCCATTTCCCAGATATGATCCTACAAATGAAAATAAGTGAGTAACTGCCTACTTTAATATGCTCTTATATATTGCTAGTTGTTTTTGGAATTACTGGATGGTTTTCAATGATATTCACTATAACTTTATATTATCTACCTGGACTAAACTTTAAGAACAGTAGCAGACAAAATTAATTCTAAACCATAAAATTGCTATTGTCTTTTGCCACAAAGCCTGGACAACATCGTATTTATATACTGATGGGACAGGAATTCTTTCTTTCCTTTTATGATTTACCCTTGCTCAGGATTGCACTCTAATATATTTCTATTTGCTAGATGAAGGGAGGTAGGTATGCATATTGATTTTCTATACTCTCACTAAGGTGGGACAAGATCTCTTGTTTATTTAGTGTAGTATTGATATAGATGTGATTTATGAAAATATCCATTACTACTAGTGTTGCCTAGTAGTCCCAGCATTGAAAGGTAGTTTCAGTGAATGCCAAATTAATTTTCAAATGTCATTTATGCAGTCAACACACGAGCCTAAATTTTGAGATTCTATTATTAAAGTGTATGGCACTTCATTATACAGATGACTAATTTGAACCAGTCAGGTTTTTTCAATGTTGGATTGGTTATGATTTAGATGAAACAAAAGGATAAACCAATTGTACACACACACACACATACACACACGCACGCACGCACACACACACACATTCCTATTTCCAACTGATGACACAATCCCAACAACTCCCTAAGTTAATTGCATATGTTAAAAATGGATGGGCTTCAATTGTGTGATCAGGCTGTCTTCAAGAACTCCTGAAATAAAATTTGTGAGACAAATGTACATTTAGCTGGGAGTAAGCAATGTATGTATGTATGTATGTATGTATGTATGTATGTATGTATGTATTGTGACAGTGAAAGGCTTTCAGAGATGAATGTTTCCAGGTTTGGTAAAATGTATTACTCTGTTTAGCTAGAACAGTTATTGACATAAATTGACCGTTATCTACTGATTTAAATTATCTCAAATCTGCCATCTCTGCATAACAACTACTTATTCTGATATATGTAAATGGAATTCAAACTGGCAGCATTCAACAACTTTAGTGCATACCAAGCTGTGCTATTAAATAAGGCAGCTTTTCACAAGCGGACTATCATTTGTTGCAATGAAGGTTAAGAGTTTCTGGGTGCTGGAATAAGAAAATATTGTACTGTTTACTATTTGGAAATAAAAAGGACAAACTTAAATCTAATCATTTTCTTAATAGATAAGTTGACATCTGATATTCATTAAAGCTTTAAATTTTCCTTGGTCTCTTGAACATTGCATTTATTCTTGGAATTAATCCATGAAATCATTAAAATGTGTTGGGAAAACAATAGGCATGCTCACTGAAGAATTCTGATAGATGCAACACATTAGAATGACATCAGCCTGACTAAAGTTGTTCTGTGTTCTACAATCACTCATGATTATTTCATAATTAGGGTAGCTTACTTGCTTATCCCCAACTTGTGTGACAGTAGAACATTAGACAGTAGATCCAAGATGATTGGGCTGGTTGTACATTGACTATTTTTTCAGTCAATGCAACAAACTGAACTCTGACAAATGCTGATTTTTCAGTCAGTGCAACCTCTCAGTCAGAGACCAGAAGGGTATCGTTGTCTTTCAAAACTGGTTAATTCTTTAATAAGAATTACAAGGTTGATTGGGGATAGGTGCCTAGTTTAGCCTCAAACAAACTCAGATCTACTTTGTGATAAAATTATTCCCTCCCACACATAAGGATACATATTTCTTGAAAAGGTTAATTAAGTAGAGATGGGCATATTAATTTAATAAACTCCATTGTGGTATTTACGTAACTCCCTAATCTTCTCCTGTGACTTTGTTAATCATGTTGTGCAAACAGGGCTATGTAATCTAGTTCCTTTTGGCTCCATCTGAATTTCATATACTCAAATTAATAATTACATAATAACATTTGAAGATAACCCATCTAAAGCTGATTTTGTTGCAGACATGGAACACGATGTGCGGGAGAGATTGCCATGCAAGCAAACAATCTAAAATGTGGAGTTGGAGTGGCATACAATTCTAAAGTTGGAGGTAAGAAATATTAATAGTAATTCTATTTTAGCAGTCTGTTTCTTTGCTGGAGTACCCAGAGATCTGTTTGAAATGCTAGTGGAGAGACACTGAACAAAGCAATATTAAATTGAATTGCAGGAATAGAAGAGATGATGGTATGCATTCTGTTTCTGTTATGCATTCTGATCATATAAAAGACTGAAAGGGTTATTCATTGCTGCAGTCTAATGAATTTCAACAGAACACTGAAAATAATACTTTCATTAAGTACCATAATCCCTGAGCATCCATGGCTGATTAGATTGTTACTATATACTTATTCACGTGGCCTACAAATGTGGGCTGAAATTCAGTTATTTATTATTTTTATCAATGCGTGTCGACACAAGCATATCATGGCCTCAACTATGCATTCAAACTGCTACTGTCACATTCAAGTCTAGAAACTTTCAACACATAGATTTAGTTTCCTTTAACTCCGATAAAAAAAAACCCAAGCTTTTAGTTTCTAAATTCTAAATGTGAGTTACTAATATACTATTAGTTTGGAGAGGAAGACATTTCTTAAGAAATTAGAGGAAAGTCAATAAAATAACCAACTCAACAAGAGTTGAGATGTAGGGAGGCACCTGATCTCTTTGTAAGAATGACCAGAAAATGGAAACCAACCATAGGATACTGTAAAAAAATATACTGGGTGCCACTGAATTTTCCTCTGTTATCTGCTACCATCCTTCCTGTCTCTTTGCTGGTATACAAGTGATCAAATAGTTTATTTTCAAATCTGATTTTGCTTTCCTAATTCACCTTAAAAAAATGGATCTCAAACCAGAATCAAAAGGAATCTGCTACAATGGATGTAAAAAGTCTATCCATCTCTTTTAAAATGCCAGTTTTTTGAGATGTAAAAAAATCAGACCAAGATAAATCACTTCAGATTCTCCCCCCACCCCAATGTTTAGTATAACATAAACTTTACAATTTAATTGAAGAACAATCTGAATTTTTTAAGGAGAAAAATAAAAATAAAAAACTTACAATGATGTGATTGAAGATGCATATTCCTCAACTAATACTTTGTTGAAGCACCTTTTGATTTTATGACAGCATTCAGTCATTTAGAGTAGGAGCCTATCAGCATGGCATATCTTGCTTTGGAAAACTCTGCCCATTCTTCCTTCCAAAAGCGCTCCAAATCTGTCCGATTGAGAGGGCATCTCCTGCGCATAGCCCTCTTCAGGTCACCCCTACAGATTCTCAATTGGATTCAGGTTCAGGCTCTAGCTGAGCCTTCCCAAAACTTTGATCTTCTGGTGAAGCCATTCTTTTGATTTGGAGGTGGTTTGAGTTGTTGTTGCATTGAAAGGATGAGATTTCTCTTCACCTTCAGCATTTTAGCAGAGGTCTGAAGGTTTTGTGCCAAAATTGACTGATATTTGAACTGTTCATAATTTTCTTCACCTTCACTAAAGTCTCTGTTCCAGCTGAAGAAAAGCACCACAAAGCATAATGCTGCAACCATTGTGCTTCACTGTGGCTTTGGTGTACTTTTGGTGATACACAGTATTTTTTTTCCCCAAACATTTTTTGGGATTATGGCCAAAATGTTCAACTTTGGTCTCATTAAACTGTAACACATTTTTCCCACATGTTTTTGTCAGATTTCATGTAGGTTTTTGCAAATGTAGCTGGGCTTGGATGTTTTTCTTTGTAAGAGAAAGCTTTCACCTTGCCACCCTATCCCACAACCCAGACATTTGAAGAATATAGGAAATTATTGTCACATGTAGTACACAACCAGATTATCTCTTTCTCTCTCTCTCATAAAAGGGATCAGAATGCTAGATGGCATAGTCACAGATGCCATTGAAGCTAGTTCAATTGGGTTCAATCCTGATCACGTGGATATTTACAGTGCCAGTTGGGGTCCAAATGATGATGGGAAAACTGTTGAGGGACCTGGCAGACTAGCTCAGAAGGCTTTTGAATATGGAATTAAAAAGGTAAGACTTCTTAACACAGAACAAAAAAGCAGTTTAGTAAGTGCCAGAAAATGAGTTGTTTTCTATCATCACTCTCTCACACCTTCTTGTTTTTCTTTTTTCTTTGCTGGCTTTTTTCTACTTGTTTTCCTTTGAATATTAATGAGATTTTATACAAAGAGCTCCTATAAAATATTAATAGAAATGGCCTACTTCCTGAATATTGTATTATTATCTAGTATAGCATCAAAATTTGATACATTATTTTATATCAGAATGAGTAGCTCAATTAGTTATAATTAAGATGATGTGAATACTTGAGAAAAATATCCTTCTTGTTGGTCGTTTAGTTCTGAAGATTAAGGATGTAGGTGAAGTTCAGTGGTGGGATTCAAAAATTTTTACTACCGGTTCTGTGGGCGTGGCTTGGTGGGCATGGCTTGGTGGGCGTGGCAGGGGAAGGATATTTTGCAAAATCTCCATTCCAACCCCACTCTTGGGAGAAGTTTACTGCAAAATCCTATTCCCTCCCCACCCCACTAACCTGCTTTCCAGCTCTGTTGTCCTATGCAGGGCAACAAAAGAAGACCCAGCCAATAAGCTGAGACTCGGGAGGCAGAGAAGAGATGGGGGCGGGGACAGTCAAAGTGGTATTTGCCGGTTCTCCGAACTACTCAAAATTTCCGCTACCGGTTCTCCAGTACTGGTCAGAACATGCTGAATACCACCTCTGGTAAAGTTCATGAGCAATTTTTATGCTTTTTAATTCTAAAAACTAATATAACATTTAAACTCACTTACTAAACCTCTGGTATCAATAGAGAGATCTGTCTTGGGTTTTTTTCTGCAATTTTTTCAAGATATTCTTTCATTAACTGTCCTTTTACCATTTTATTCAGACCAATGTTTGGGGCTGATAATCTGATAGGAAGTGGACTTGCTGACAGATGCAGCCAATACTTGACTCAGCTCAAGTTTCACAATTTCTCTGAGAGTGAAGGTATACAACAATCAACAATTAATTGTTTTAATAGTTATCTACTGTAATTATTAAAACAATTTACACAACTTGGTAACTTTAGGAAATATTATTTCTAACCTTATCATCCTTGAGAGTTGTTGGTACAACATCATGGAAGAAAACTAAACTGGGGAAAACTGAATTCTAACAATCGCATCACTAATCACTAGCTTGGAATTTTATTTTGGAAGGAGAAAAGAGTTTTTTTCCACTAAGAATGAAATCAAGAGATAATCTACCTGGAAATAAAATGAGTTTATCAACTTTAAGGTCAATACTGGGAAATGCACCAGTTTTTTTGCTTTTGTCAATCCCCTGCAACACAATCCCACTTAAAAAAAAAAATTAAGATTCAAAAAATACTTTTAGTGCAAAGAACAAATAGCACTTGCCAGCTGCTGCCATAATAATGCTTCCATGAAGAAATCACTGGGCATTTGCTGCTTCTTCAAAATAGTATTTTATTTATTTGGTTTTTTGACTTGAGAAACGAGACAAGCAAGATATAGAATCATTTGAAGTAGATTGTGGAGTTTACTTTAAAATTAATGCTTTTCAAGAGGGGACGTACCCAGTCCAAACTGAGGATCATCTAATTGTGCATTTTTGTAACACAGAATTACTGGAAAAGACCATGTGGGTTCAGACAATCTGCTTTCCTGGGCTATTATAATTTGGTGTGGTGTGGTTGTGGTAACATGACATGCATATGAAATGGAAGGTCCTGCACTGTGACAACACAATGGGTTCTTCATCATTTTGAGCCTCTTGCTCCATCACTGCAAACACAGCTGTCCTGATTCATTTCTGGATTTTGACTTTTCCCTATGAAGTCAAGAGAGGGGTTTGAGAGAAAGTCTGAAGGTCAGTGTAGACTATACACAGACTATACAGAGCACAATTCTTCATCCTTGCTTTCTTCCCAGAATAGCTAAGTTTGACAGAGATTATACATTGTCCAAAGTAAGGCAAATAAGGAGTCATATTTTCCTATTAAGTTATTAAATTTTCTATATGAACAATTCAAGAAAAGGGTTCTTTTATTACCACTGCTATACTTGTTATAGTCTCTGAAGTATCTCTTTAAAAATTCACCCAAGCATTTTAATAAATAAGACACTTTTATAGTGAATATACTTTTATTGAATATACTTTCATTACTCTTTTTTGTTAAATAGAAATTTCTTACTAAAAGGTTAATAGTCTCCTAGCTCCAGCTTCACAGTATTTTTTATTTTTAGATGGCCTTTTTTGCATATTCTTGCATGGTGTGTGTGTGTGTGTGTGTGTGATTTTGTTTATAACTCATCATTCAGAAAGACAGTTAGTGATGAGAAGGAACAATTAATTTCTGATGTTAACAGAATAGCAGAATTGGAAGGGACCTTGGAGGTTTTCTAGTCCAGTGGTCACCAACCAGTGGGCCAAGGACCACTGGTGGTCTGCAAGAAAAATTGGGTGGTCCACAGAGAAATGTCCCCCCAAAGCACTCCCCCCAAAACAATTAATCCAGGCTGCGCAGGAACACAAGGCTGTGCCACCCACAAGGCCCGCCAGCCCTCTGGCCCCCACCCTTCAGCTGAGCACAAACATTACCTGGTGGCTTGCTGATGTTGGTGGGAAAGTCGGTCCCATATTCCAGAGCTGCAGTAGTAACAGGACTGACCCTTTGGTCACCCCAGAGCAGCTCCTCCAGTCCATGGCAGGCCGGTATACCCAGGTAGAGGAGCAGCTGCTCCGGGATGACCAAAGGACCAGTCCTGTGACTACTGCAGCTCTGGAATATGGGACCAACTTTCCCACCAACGTCAGCAAGCCACCATCAGCCAAAATTCCTATTAGTGGTCCATGGGATTTAAAATTATGAGTTTGGTGGTCCCTGAGGTCCAAAAGGTTGGCGACCCTGTTCTAGTCCAATCCTCTGCTCATGCAGGAAACCTTATATTGTTTTAGACAAATGATTATACAATCTCTACTTAAAAACCTTCAGTATTGGAGCACCCACAACTTCTTAAGGGTAGTTATTCTACTGATTAATTGTTCTAAACGTCAGGAAATTTCTCCTTAGCTCTAGGTTGGTTCTCTTCATTAGTTTCTTTTTTTTTTTTTAACAAACTTTATTCAGTTTTTCACATTAAAAACAAAAATCTCTTTTTAGTGGACAACATGTTTCCGGGTCATCACCTTTACATACAAATATGACAGCAATTATACATTCATATATGCATACTTAATTCTACTATTACCTTTTCCATTCCAAATTTTCAATAAGGAGAGAAACAAACACATTAATTCTAGCCTCTTTCATTAATCTCAATCGAAACATCTCTTTGTTTCATTTCAATTATTTCAAATATAATCCTTTAATATTTATTTTAAAATTAAAGATAAACAATATGTGTTTGCCTAATAATAATAATAATAACAGTAACAATAACAGTAACAATAACAATAATAAAAAGTTACCAATGTCTCTCCTTGCTTTTAATAGTCTATATTAACTTATTAATTTAGTTGGTTCTTTAGTCTGTCATATTCCCTTTCCATTACACATTCTTTTTATAAATTCTAGATTAATACAAATTTTAACACTAAAAAAAAAAACAAGTATAGGTTTCCCCCCTTTTACTGTTTTGAGTGTGACACCTCAATGATTAAAATATACCTTTATTCCCTCATCTTAATTCCCAATAAACCATTATTTTTAAGAAGTTACAATAACAATCATTACATCCTTTCACTTGGATTCCACAGTATATTTCCCCCCCTTGATTTTTAATAAGAGTTATCAGTATCTATATTACCCTATTTTCTAAATATTTTTAATTGCAGAAATATTCTTATTACCGCTTGTCACCCTGCAGAATCCCCTTTTTAATTCATCAACCATAATCTCTAAAAAAACAATTTCTTTTCAACATTTTACTATTTCCCTATTTCTTTATTTCATGCACCTGTTTCTTACTGCTTCTCCTCCCCCTCTTTTCCCCATATCTTTTCTCATTCCAGTTTATATCCCTCTCTTTCTTAGTATCTTCATTTCCCCTTTTCTGCTGGGTCTTTCTGCCTTTCCCGACTTCACAGGTATTCCCCCTTTTGATTGCCTTCTTAAATCTCAACTTTTTAACCTTCCTTCTTTCCCCACTTCTTTGTAGTGTTCTTTGTGTTAATTGTCTATTTAAAATGTCTTCTCCTTGAGTCGACTCCTCATCCTCTGAAGCTTTTTCTTGTTCTTCAATCGCCATTTCCATTTTTTCTAACACAGAGCAAAGTGATTCGCCTCTTTCCTGTAGTAATTCTCTCATATTTTTAAGTTCCATTTTTAATTCCTGAAGAGATATCATCATTACACACTCTTATATTTTATGATCGTTAAAGTCCACAAAAAAACACTTTTACTTTCCTTGTTTCTTCTTTCAATTTTCTAAAGTTCTCAGTTATTCCAGCCCAGGGTTTATATCAAAAACATCAATCAATCCCATAGTCTTTCCTTGCCTTTTTCTTTATTCTGGTTCTGCTTTCACTTTCTAAGATTCTTACTTTGTTTCAATATTTCTTTAATGTCATATCCACACAAGTTCATTCAGAAACAGGATGCTTTCCCTTTTGTTTGAGCTCGAGTTTTTGTCAAAAGGTGGCACTCTCCATTATACAAAGTCTTCACCTTTCCCCCCTATTTTTTTATTTAGGGTTTTTTGAACCTCAATATTCCAGCACAGTCCAGTCTCCAATTTATAAACTTTATTATTATTATTTTTTGACAATCTTAAGTCCAGCTTTATTTTATGCCTGTTTATTCCCAAAATATTTTAGTCCAATTTAGTTAAATCTTTAGTTCCAGCTTCTTCCTTTCCCGGTTCAAAGCCCCGCTTAGCTGTCAAAAATATTTTCTTTTCTTTTTTCCTGTCCCTTTGTAATTTCGCTGCTCACTTTTCTTTTCTTAAAAATTCCATGTTACCTTAATCCTGGGGTACTTTTGTTTAGTTGTATTGCCCAGTTGTCCCAGTTCAGATGTTATCCACCTCTTTCTTCCCTCCTGTACAAATCTTAATCCAGCTGAGTCCTCCTCTTCGGGGAGGCCATTTTAAACCACCGCTGCAGTTCTCTTCGGGGGGGGGGGGAAAGACCAAGCCCGGGGGGAGATGTGGCTCCCCTCAACCTGGCTTGCGGCTTCCCCTTACTCCACCACCCCTCCAAGGCAGCTTCAGCCCCTAATCGTAATGATCGGGGCTCTCCAATAAAAGAGCACGGACCATAGCCACAGAGAGTCGCGATCTATGGTCTGTCAGCGAGGAGGCTCCGCCTTATTCCCCTTCATTAGTTTCCATTTATTGCTTCTTGTCATGCCTTCAGGTGCTTTGGAGAATACGTTGACTTCCTCTTCTTTGAGGCAGGACTTTAGATCTTGGAACATTACTATCATGTCACCTTTAGTCCTTCTTTTCACTAGACTAGACATATCCAATTCCTGCAACCATTCTTCATGTTTTAGCCTTCAGTCCCCTAATCATTTTTCTAGTGTCAGCCTCTCTTTTACATTGTGGTGACCAAAACCTGGATGCAATATTCCAAGTGTGGTCTTACCAAGGCACTATAAAGTGGTACTGACACTTTACATGGTCTTAATTCTATCCCTCTGTTAATTCAGCTTAGGACTGCATTGGCTTTTTTGGCAACTGTTGCACACTTCTGGATCATATTTAAGTGACTGTCCACTAGGACTCCAAGATCCCACTCACAGTTAATACTATTGAGCCAGGTACCACCTATACTATACCTTTGCATTTGGTTTTTCTCGCCTAACTCTAAAACCTTACTTTTTTCACCACTGAATTTCATTTTTTTAGATAGGGCCCAGTGTTCAAGTCTGTCAAGATCCTTCTGTATCTTCAACCTATCATTTGGAGTATTGGCTATTCCTGCCAGCTTGGTGTCATCTGCAAATTTGATGAGTTCTCCTTCTATCCTCTCATTTAAATCATTGATGAAGATATTGAAGAGTACTGGGCCTAAGACAGAGCTTTGGGATATCCCCCTGTGTTCTTCCCTCCATGTAGATGCAGATCCATTAAGGATTACATGTTAATTACTGGAGAACCAAGAATTATGAAACAACAGGAAAATAAAGAGTTAAAGGCTTTACTACTTCATTCTGTGAAATGGACATGCACTGAAACTTTACAATGCTAGTGCACATATATTGATTCTTGCTAGTCACATAGATCATCAGTCCCAACCTTTGCAGCTTGGCAGCCCAGGAAGTGGTGGTGGTGGAAGGAGAACTTTTATAAATTGAATTGTGCATGCATATGCATGCCTGTTGGCCTGTTCTCACAAGTAAAGCTGCACATGTGCATTTGTGTGCTGGCCTGCAGTTTATGTGGCCCAGTTGTGAATTGGCCACAGCCTGGTAATGGGCTGCAGCCTGTGGAATTGAGGACCCTGACATAGATAATGCATTATCACCATTTCTGTTGCAATACAAAGATGCGCTAGAATCATTTGTCTTCTCTCTGAGCAATATTGCTTACTTTTTCTTTCATTTTTGGCAGATCATTAGTTAATATATTAACTAATGGCCATGAATGGCAACTGTTGCACACTTCTGGATCATATTTGTAGTCAAAACTTGAGCTGGATTTGGGCAGAGTTTTGAATATCTGAGGTCTATACATTAAGACTAGGAATAATCCTTTTAAAATAAATTATCAACAAATAGTGAACACTCCATTTAATTATTCAGTGCTTTATTAAATGATTGTATTGTGATGGAATAGATGCACTGTATGAAATATATATTAGTATTTCCCAGAATATTAATTTGTAATGCAGCAAATGTGCAGCTATTGTTTATTAGTTCCATGATTCCTTAGAGAATATAGTTATGTTTCAAAGATTGTCTAGATATCAGCATATCGTTGCTAGGAAAATAACAGCACTTTAATTTCTCAAGTATTGTATTTTAAAAAGTGAAAAAGGATTGGCTGATTGCAAACAAAAGTATGACTTCATGGATCATGAATTGTTTTCCCCATAATAATATTTGCATGCCAAGTATTAGAAAGGGGAAATCCCAAACAAAAACAAACTTTTATTAGTCAGTGAGTTTTATCCCAAGGAGTGAACCCTGAATCTTCACTTAGAAAAAAATATTTGGACATCTGAATAGACCATCCTTAATTTTTTGTTGGGTATGAATTAGCCTGAACCCCTCAACAAGTTCCTGAAAATAGGCCTTCTGCATTTTAGAGTGTGCAATGTCTATTTTTATCTGTACCAGCTTAGAGACTGGCCAACATTTAATTTCATTGAAGCGAGAAATTCTGTCCAGCTGTGGTCAACGTTTGCACCATTAGATTGTATGTAATGCTCCTGCTTTCCCTATTAAAATGTATTGTCTATCCAGCAACAACTCTCTCAGACTGAACCATGAGAACAGCCAAAGACCTGAGAAAGGCTCATTTTGTTGTTTTCTGTCCACTGATGATAGTTTTCATGCCATATTCTGTGTGAGCTCCTTATTGTGTTCTTATTCCCTTTGTATCCTCAGCTTTCTGACTGAGACGTTACCCTTCAAACATTCCAGTCCATTATCTTATTTTTATCATTAGATCTTATCTTAGGATCTTGTTGCATAAATTATGCTTTTATTCATGCAGGGAAAATGTCATTGCTTACGTTCTTCTTTGGCTGACCATTCCCTTCAAATCATTCAAAGACATTCTATGATGTGTAGATTTACTGCTTACCTTTAAACCAATTAAAGATATGGATCTGTCAAAATAACATGTTAACTGCATTTTTGTTCCAACAAAATAAGAGAGCATCCTTACTCTGATTTTCATGTTAAGGATTACTGACATATTGAGCATGAAAATTACACCTGGAGGAAAGTGGACATATCTTTACTCACAATAATCACTGTTAGGGATAACATTGTTTACCCTAACTGGTTTGGGTAAAAATAATAAATAAGGTATCATGGTTTGTTAGTTAAAGTGTGTGTAACTTTAACTGCAAGAATGTAATTAAGGGTGTGGTTGTAAAAGCACTATATAAGAAGCGAGGCAATTGCAGCTCGCTCTCTCTGGCTTACTGATCCCTAATTACTGGATGGATTGATGACTGCGTTCTTGCTGGAACGGGGAGAGAAAAAGGAGTGTTGATTTTTCTCAACGGAGAGAAGATAAAGATTGGACTGATATATTGTAAGTGTACTGACATTGGCTATTCAACACGGACTTTGCAAATAGAGTATCCCTGACAAGACTTGACTGAAATGATATATGACTAATGGACCGTTTATTTTGACTATGCTATAATTCTTAAATGGAATAAACTATATTTTTGATAGCACAAGCGTATCTGTATTTTTACTACGTGTTAACTAGAAAACTTATCTCACACATTTACCTGTCTTCCTATCTGACTTCGCTGCATGTTCTGTTTAGTTTGTTTTCCTTAACACCCGTTGGGGAATCCAGGCTTAACAATCACCTCTTTTCTTTCCTTTCCTTTAGGGAAGAAAAGGGAAAGGTTCCCTTTTTGTCTGGGCTTCTGGGAACGGTGGCCGCCAAGGAGATAACTGTGACTGTGATGGTTACACAGACAGCATCTACACAATCTCCATCAGCAGTGCTTCACAGCAAGGCCATTCTCCTTGGTATGCAGAGAAGTGTTCGTCAACACTGGCCACAGCATACAGCAGTGGGGACTATTCTGACCAGAAAATTGTAGGTTGTTTTTACCAGATTTAACCAACATTGAGGGAGGGGGGAAGCAGCCACAAAACAATTTGTCGAGCAGGGATAGGAAAATCATGGAAATCAGTCTTAATGCTCTAGCAATCATAATTCAGATATAGTGGCACCTTTATTCAGGATTAAACTTCATTTAAACTTCATTTAAACTTCAGGTAAGCTCCTGGAAAAAAGTGGCTGGTGATTGGTGACATTGGGAGGCATTTTGGGAGGAGAGCTGCAGAAATTTTAAAAGATAAATTCAGTTTGTAAAGATTTGCAAGAAAAAGACATCAAAAGCACACCATTAACATCTTGCTAAAATAACATGTAATCACCTTTTGTTCAAATGGGACTCCATATTTCTTGCCTGCAAAAATAATGCCGCTTCTATATAAAGGAAACACTCAAAGCTTTTATATGCAAAAGACTGTCTCTCTCTGTGGAAAAAAACAAAACTTGGGTTGAATTTGCTTTCAGTGCCAAGAATGAAAATTTGGAAGTTTGAGAGGGCCAGGTACCTTTGGATAATGCAAAACAATTGCCTGGATTCATGAAAGGGCAGGGTAGATAATGATATGGGAAGTAACCATATTTCTGTCTCCCTTCCATCTGATCTGGGTTATCACTGGGTTATCACTGAATCAAGATATGTAAAAAATGAAAGTGGATATAACCTCTTTCCAATAAATACTAGTGTTTTATTGAGAAAGAAGAAAGGATAAAAATAACCAGTATGACTGATCAAAAACTCAAAAATGTTTCATCTAAGGTCTACAGATTCTACTACTGTACATTCACATACATACATGCAGGGGTGGGATTCTACCAGTTTTCACCTATTCGCTAGAACCGGTTGTTAACATTCTAAGCAGTTCGGAGAACCGGTTGGTGGAAGAAATTACTGGCCTAATCCTGTAAGGAAGGCAGGAAGGAAACATTCTGGTGTTGCTTACAGAAACTGCCTCTCTGTTAACCCTTATTACATTCTTGGCAGGACTAGACTTCCTGTCTCAGGAACTTCTCTGGAGTTTTTTTCCCCTCCCTTGCTGGTACTTTGCTTATGTGGAGTGACCATTCAAAGTTACAATGGTACTGAAAAAAGTGACTTAGGGCCATTTTTCACACAACTGTTACAGCATCCCCACAGTCATGAAAGGCCAGATGAGAAGATGCATGCCTCGATGTGAGTTATATTGAGTTGGCCACGTCCAGCCAATAACATGACCACCAAGCCATGTCCACCCAGTCACATGACCACCAAGCCATGCCAACCACCTAAGCCACGCCCACAGAACTGATTATTAAAATTTTTGAATCCCACCCCTGCATACATGTACACATTTCAGTACTGTACTTCCACACATTGGAATTTTGCAGGCAGTAACGTGACACAGTTTTTCCAAGCAGAGCCCTTCATTTTCTAATAAACCATCTGTTTCATTTTCCAAATTACAATGCTGTGCATTGTTAGATTGAGAAGAAGGGAAAGACAAGTATCTGCTATCAACTCCTATGTGATTTTTAATCTGGCAATCATTTTACAGCGATCCATGTTATGATTCAACTGTAATTGTGAAACACTTATTTTTATCTTACTAGGATTTCATAATAAGATGAGTGCCTTTGACACAGTATTATGTTCACTCAAAATGAGCCATTTCAATTAAAAAATTGTAAGCAAAATAGAAGGGGAGGGTTTTCGATTCTTATTTTATCTGGAAGAGAACAAGATATTCCAAGGTAATCATGGAAAAATATGTTTTTGTGCATGGCCACAGTTAACCTTTATATGATGTTTATTTCCTTCAGATAAGTGCGGATCTACACAATGAATGCACAGCCACTCACACGGGGACCTCTGCATCTGCTCCTTTAGCTGCAGGGATTTTTGCTCTAGCCCTAGAAGCCAAGTAAGTCTTCTTAAACTTCTCCCTAATTAGGAATGCTTGAAACGGATTTAATTCACATTTCAAGCAACTGACCTGTTCCATAAACATCTGCATCAGAATAACAAAATATATTCAAACAGACACTGAAATCTAAAGTAAACTTTTCTTCTTGGATATGTAGACCAGAAGGACCACAGATGAAGTTGATATGGATTATAAAGAGAATGACCAATCTAATCCTATATTGCGATTATTGTGCCTTTTCTTAATGTCCTTATGGAATTGTTATAATTCCATTCTTTGAAACTTTTCAAAAATTCCCTTCAAAGGAGGGCTTGAAGTCAAGAATCAGAACAACCAGTAAAAAGCAGACAGTAGGGAACAAATATAACACAATGATAAATAGAATAGTATCAATAAATGAGAATATTTGTAACTCAGGGTTGAAATGAGGCATCCTTACTATTCTCTGAGCTTGTTTCTTTTCTTGCAGATGTTTCGTTACCCAAATTGATAACATCATCAGTGCTAGTGATGATGTGACTAGCACTGATAATGTTACCTACTTTGGGTAATGAAATGTCTGCAAGAAAAAAACCAAGTTCAGAGACCACTAAGGTCCACTCAACTAGAATAGAATAATAAATATTGTATAATAAGGTAACTCGATTAGCTGATCTATTTTCCCAGCAATGAACAGAGTTCCTTTAACTCTAAGTAGTTTTCTGCATTTTAGTATGAATCTTTCATGATGTTAAAAACAAAATACTGGTGGAAATTCAGAGGAGAGATGTTGATTACTGGGGCTTCTTAACTGAGCACTTATGCTCTAACTGACTTACTGGTGTGTGTGAAAAGTATTCTGTGCCTATTAAAATGCTGGATTATGGGCAAAGATTCCAATCCCTTAAGATCAAAATTGACTCGAATTTTGTGTGTAACAGTCCTAATCTAACCTGGAGGGATATGCAACATTTGGTAGTCTGGACATCTGAATTCGATCCACTGGCCAACAATCCAGGATGGAAGAAAAATGGAGCTGGTCTGATGGTGAACAGCCGATTTGGATTTGGATTACTCAATGCTAAAGCACTGGTGGATTTGGCTGATCCCAAAAGCTGGAAAGGAGTACCAGAGAAGAAAGAATGCATAGTTAAGGACAGTGACTTTCAGCCGAGGTAAGAGCTGACCCTTTGGTGTTTTGGCTTAGTTTTTAGCTGAACTCTGATCCAGAAACATATGGAAATCTCCAGCCTTCCCATATAACATTTTTTCAACTGTCCCCAGTCAACTGCTTCCATCTGGCAGAGCTTCTATTATTTAGTTGTATAGTAACAAATCTTATAGACCTTTATTAAACCATCCTGAAACAGCAACAATTGCATGGAAAAAGCAAGAAGAGTGAGGGAGAAAATGAATGGTGACTATGGCATACATTTTGCATACAAAAGGAACCAGATTCAATTTAGCCAAACAGGTAACATGTAAAATCTGAAAACCTAATTAGCCTTCAATTGGGGCCCACTACCATCTATATTTGTTTTGAACAGTGTTTCACTACAACAGTAAATTTTCTTGGTAATTTTCCTCAATAAATCTGAATAGCACTCCAGAGCTTTATGGGAATTTGAAATTGCTTTGAAGGACTTCTGTCTTAGTAAAAAGCAACTTCGTAAAAAAAATTGTAAGCAAAACTTTGTACAAAACCAGAACTCTACTGTCTTTTTATGCTTTTAATGTGTCATTGTACACTGCCCATAGTCCCTCTGTGAGGAAGATGGACAGTTCTTATATATGAGAAATAAATAAATAAACTTTGCAGATTTTTAAAACTGCATCAGAACTTCATGAAGTAAATTTTCTAATCATGTTGCCAGGTTATTAAAATCTAGTGGTGAAGTTACAATTGAAATTCCTACCACAGCTTGTGAAGGCCAAGAAAATGCCATTAAATCCTTGGAACATGTACAGTTTGAAGCAACAATTGAATATTCCCGCAGGGGTGACCTTCATGTGACCCTGACTTCCCCATCAGGTAAGATCATAACATTGTCTATTGTGGCACATTTTTTAACGCTTCAACACCACTATCAATGCTACTGTCCTTCAAAAAGACCTTGATTATGTGTCTGAATGGTCTAACAGTTGGCAACTCCAAAACTCTACCAACAAATGCTCTGTCCTTCACATCTGTAAAAAAAATCTATATACCAAATGCAAGCTAGGTGGATATGACCTTGTAGATGACCCACACTGTGTCAAGGACCTTGGAGTTCTCATATTGAATGACCTAAGTGCCAAAGCTCACTGCAACAGTATTGCCAAAAAGCCTTTAAGAGTTTTAAATTTAATTTTACGAAGCTTCTCCTCTGGTAATACTGATTTACAAACTAGGGCATTCAAAACCTTTGCTAAACCAATGCTTGAATTCAGCTCTGCTGTCTGGAATCCGCACTGTATATCAGACATAAATACAATTGAGCGAGTCCAGAAGTATTTTACCAGAAGAGTACTACATTCCTCTGTTCGCAACAGAATACCCTACACCACCAGACTTGAGATTCTAGGCTTAGACAACCTTGAACTACACCAGCTAAGATTGGATGTAAGCATAATACATAAAATTATATGTTACAATGTCTTACCAGTTAATATTTCAGCTTTAACCACAACAACACAAGAGCACACAACAGATATAAACTTAATGTAAACCACTCCAAACTTGATTGCAGGAAACACGATTTTAGCAACAAAGTGGTCAATGTCTGGAACTCACTACCTGATTCTGTTGTCACCTGCTCAAACCCCCACTGCTTTATCCTCAAACTAACCTCTATTGACCTCACCCCATTCCTAAGAGGTCTGTAAGGGGCGTGCATAAGCACACAATTGTGCCTACCATTCCTATCTTATTGTCCCCAATTATTAGTTCCTATTTCTTGTATTTAAACTTATGTTTATTCTTGTTTCTGTTGCATTTTAAGTTTTTGACAAATAAATAAATAAATAAAATAGATACAAAAATAAAGAATACATTGAGCAATAGAATACTTGCCAATAAATTAGAATGGAAATAAAGAAAAAAAAATCCTGACATTTCAAATAAAAAATATATATTCATGAGAACATTTTGGATAGCACGAGTCAGTCAAATAGCAACTGATTCTATCTAAAACATGCACTTCATTTGCATTATCTAGCCAAATCATGCGTCTTTGCTGTATTAAAGTGAAAGCAACCCCTGTATTAAAGTGAAAGCAGAAGAGGGCTTCAGCTATTTCTACAGGTTCTCTAAAGTTTCCCATTTCCCATTCAGCATTAATGAATCTAATTCACCTGAACCCAATGCACTTCATAAATCAGACAGGAGGCTGATAGTTCTCACATATGCTGTAGTTCATTAGAGCTGGCTTTTTTTTTATTCTGGAGGTAATGTACTACAGTGAAGATTATTGATATCCTTCTTTCCTGGGATTTGTTTCATCTTTTTATAAGCCTAATCAGGTGGTCTTATTTTATTGGGTGACAGCAAATTCCATAATTTGATTTATTTTTATTGATCTCATTAAATTGGTCTCCATGCAGTTTGATTCAGTACACTCCTAAAATACCAATGCCAATACTGTTAGTGTAAAGTAGTTCTAACAAAACTGTGCATTTCTCTTATGGAAGGCACACCGAACGCAGACTTACATATCCAGCCATTGTTGTTTAACTTATTAGAATAAGACAGTATTCTTAATTTCATACTTTGCAAGCCATATATTATGGCATTTTTGCTTTGTTCTCTGTTAAAGCTAGAATGACACATGGTCAACAGAACAATTTTGTTTCTCTGCTCAAATTTCACAGCTTTCTGAAATTCTATTTGGGTTTCAATTTGATTTGTGTCAGAAGAAAAAGAAGATTAATTTTTGGTGATGCCATCTTCCTTCTGTATTCATTCAGGTTGACACCTGTTTTTATAATTCTGAACGGAAGTGCTTTGAAGAAAATAGGTTGTTAATTGCAGATAAGTTGAGGAAACAAAATTAGGAAAACTGATGATTAGAGAGGAATGAATATTTTGCATGCAGAAAGAAGTTTCTGTTAGTGGTGTCTCCAAGTAGGAGAAAGGTGGCAACAGTTCCTGCCTGAAAATTTTGGCAGTTTAGTATGTTGCCTGACATTCATATTTTCTAAATATGAAACTAGTATTTTACCCTATGGCACTACCTATTTCCCAGAATATATTCTAAATAACTTCTTAAAAGTGATGTTCAAATGTTAAGATCCAACATTCATATATATTGTGCTCGTAGCAATCTCTTCTTTTTCCCCTCTGTCTGGGCATACAATGAACATCTTGGCAGCTTGATAAGGCACATCCCACACCTACAAATATTAGCTCATTTTATATGTTTTATGAACTTCAATCTATGTGTTGAAAGAAGTTATGGTATCAAGCCAGCTTCTTTGCCCTTTCAAAATCTATGTATTAAGCCTAGATATCTGAAGAAGAAGCATTGTCTTAATCCTCTATGTTCATAGACTTCCAAAGATATATTTTTATAATACAACTTCCATGGAAGCCTACATGCATAAAATCCTATACACATAGTGTTCCATACTGACAGACTTGAAACCCAACGTTCCCATTGGTCCGTTTTAACCGCTACCTGATTGGAAAATCAGGGCGGCTGTGATTGGCTTGCTAAGAGTCTGCCACGATTGGTCGAAACCAAGCACGGGAGACTCAAAGCGATGTCATTGGCCGCTAAAGCCCCGGCAAGCTCTATAAAAGAGCCGCCGCGGCTGCTATTCTTTAGAGCTGATTTTAGCCGATAAATAAAGAGCTCTTGTTACTGAACCGGAGTCTCTCGTCTTTATGAGCCCAACCCTTTGAATATAACACATAGGCTCACTACTCAAATTTGATACTCCTATTAATGTAAACTGATCCTATAATTTCTTTAATATAAAGGGATATAAATTTCCCTATTGCTAAGCACACAGGATTATCTATCTGGGATTTATCTATGGTCCCTTTCAGCCCCTGTTTCACATTGATCTGGATTCAACCCCATGCTGCTGTGTGCCTATGTTTTTAGTTCTTTTTCTGCAGCTGAGCTGATTGGCTCACCTCAACCTCAAGAATCAATACCTTGTCAGCTTTTTCTCAGGCTTCCTAAATTGAACAGAAAGGTGGCTGTTGTTGGACAGCATTGTGTTATTGGTCAGCTGGAGAGATACCTGTCTGGTTCATGGTGAGTGCTCAGCATTGTGAAGATGGCAGCAGCGAGGACACAAAGATGATTCTGAGGTTACAGAGGATGAAACTGTGGTTGTGTGTCTTTGCCTGAGGTTGAATTTTATATTATCCCATACTGGAATGTCACTTTTTTCTCTGATACAGGGACCAAAACAGTCTTACTGGCTGAACGGCAAAGAGATAAATCACCTTATGGTTTTAAGGACTGGGATTTTATGTCAGTTCACACCTGGGGTGAAGATCCAACAGGAACATGGATTTTAAAAATAATTGATATGGTGAGTAGGAAAAATTGTATATATGTATACAAACTTAAAGTAAGATATAGCAAAACAATACAATCATGATCAATTCAACCAAACATAGTTAGGAAATAGGTTAATGAAAACTATTCTTTCTGCAGCTTTAGTGGATAGGTGCATCTGTGTCCAACTACTGAATATTAAATGTATCATGTTCTCACTTTTGTATTTTCTTCTCAAATAAAATTGATGCATCTGTTGGAAAACCTTTGTTGAGACTCTAGAAAAAGTGCAGAGAAGAGCAACCAGGATGATTAGGGGACTGGAGACTAAAACATATGAAGAACGGTTACAGGAACTGGGCATGGCTAGTCTAGTGAAGAGAAGGACCAGGGGAGACATGATAGCGGTCTTCCAATATTTGAGGGGCTGCCACAGAGAGGAAGGGGTCAAGCTATTTTCTAAAGCACCCAAAGGCCAGACAAGGAATAATGGATGAAAACTGAACAAGGAGAGATTTAACCTGGAAATAAGGAGAAACTTTCTGACAGTGAGAACAGTCAACCAGTGGAACAGCTTGCTCTAGGCCTAGGAAGTTGTGGGAGCGCCATCACTTGAGACTTTCAAGAAGAGACTGGACTGCCCATCTGTCAGAAATGGTGTAGGGTCTCCTGCTTGCGCAGGGTGTTGGACCAGATGACCCACAAGATCCCTTCCAACTCTGATTATCTGTTAAAATCTGTTCCTTTCTTCATTTTATTCTAAAACATGGCCTTTAATTTCAAGGCAAAAAGTTTCTACTGACTTCAGAATGGAACTATTTCACTCCCTGGGCACTAACTTAGAAGACTAGTTTCCCACAAAAACAACATATAGAGCTGTGGATGAAATAGGCATAAAATAAGATTAACAATGAATGATCAAACTAAAGCTAGACACCAAAATTATGTGACAGCTCCCTCTTCTGATTAAACAGAATTCTTTTTTTACCTTTTACTTGCTATCTCAGAAGGGAGTAGAAGCTTTGAAAAAACCCTATTAAATATTTTAATACTGTCTGAGATCTTCAAGAGGACAGAACTGCAGTTGTGGATTAGAATTCTATTAGTTAGATTAAGGCAAACTCTGTTTTGCAGCAATTATTTATATTGGGGAAAAAGTGAGTTTTTTTGAATGGTAATTTACACTGGATAGATCTAGTTGTCACTTTTTGTCAACTAGCAAATACATTTCTTGTGGCTAATGTTTTTAGGTAAGTTTAAATATTTTGTTGAGAAATTAAACACAGAGTCAAAATGTTTTCCTCATGATGCTAGCTTTGTTCTTTTATTGAACATGTGTTTAACTCTAATTTGATTTAAAGTGTTAGAACTAATTATTTTAAAAGAGTCCCATGAATGTATTGATAACAAAAACTCAGCAATGAAAAATATCTAATTAGTTTATTACTGTGGGTGGGAGTATTTGTATTAGTGAGTATATAGAATAATTGAATAAATAAATTATCATTACGGAAAAATATTTATTCACTTATTTAAAAACAGAATACCTGATGACTTAAAGGGCAAAAAGGGGTAACATTTCAGTGCAAACTGGCAAATAGAGAAAGCAACATTTCTGAATGCATGGTATCTTGCTGTTCTAGAAAGCAATTCCTGCTTCAATGAGCCTTAACTTTAATCACTGCTACCAATGGGATTTTTATGAAGACTGCTTATAATGCATAGAATTTATCTTTAAATTTTTAGAACAGTTTTTAGATGAACTGGTACTTCTGGGGCCCATTTAAGAAACATAATGACTATGATTTTTATTTTTATTTTAATCACATTTGTCTCTTTATTGCCAAGTGGACAAATTGTGAACTTCAGATAGAGAGTTGCATAAAAATTAAAATATTTTAGGAATGTTACTCAATGGCTCATCACCTATAACTCAATTTAGATAGAAATGAATACAGATGCTTCCAAGATAGGAATGAGATGATTTATTCATTTCATTTTGCTCAATATTTTTAAAAAACCTAACCTATGGTTAGCTCATTTGTGCATAAATATTCATATGGTTCTCAAAATGTACATTTTATCCAATTTTTAATATGTTATCTGAAAATAATCCATTTTCTAATATTTTACCCTAGAATATATAGTAGGTGTTTTTTTTTAATATGTGCATTTTTTAGCTGTAAGCTATATTGTACGTTTGGTAATATAGTATATTTGGAGACATTAATGTGTTCTGATTTGGGATAGTACAACATGAATAAGTTTCCCATTCAACCTTTATTACAAATGGTTGTTACTCTTTTAAATAAAGTATTTATGCTTGATCTCTATATATTGAATAGAAGTAATTATATATGTAGCTATTTTAAAAAATGTTTACATATTTTATTAATTTTGAAGAAATGAATGTAAAGAAGTAGTCAATATGAGTATATAGACAGCATCCAATTTAAATAGTTTAAAATTAAGTAAACATTTGTAATATTCTTGTATTTTTACCTCCTAAACTTATGGACTACAAAAAGATTGACAATTACACTTTTCCTCAGTCTCAAAGAATACAAAATGAAGGCAGAATTGTGAACTGGAAATTGATTCTGCATGGCACTTCTACCCGACCTGAACATATGAAGCAACCTCGCATCTATACATCATACAACACTGTCCAAAATGACAGGAGAGGGGTGGAAAAGATGATAGACTCTATGGAGGTACCCATCTAGCCTTTTTCCAGCTATAATTTATTTATAAGATGTGAAATAAGTGAGAATGGTTTTTCTTCTAAATTAATATATACTAGTCTTTCATGAAAGTGTCTTTAAAATCCATCTAAATCAACAATGCTTTTCTCTCCTGAGAGTTTGGTATTTCCCAACATTAGATGTGATCATGACTACTTGATTAGATAGATTTTAAAGACAAATTCATGAAAGACTAGCATAAAAACAATAGCTAGATGTTGTAGTTCAAGAAATTCTTCATATGGTGCCAATATGCTGTGCATAAACACTAGTTGGAAAAAAAATGGAGAATACTGGAAATATTGTTATTACCTTAGTCCTCTGCCTATTAGCTGTTTGTCTGGTCACTAGTTAGTAATGCATATCATTCAAAATAACTCCTTATGTTCTAATCCTTGTAGAATTAATACATAAACTTCCTAAGTATGCTGATTCCCCAAGCCATTGCAAAATTTCTCCACAGTTCTTTAGAGCATCTTAGTGGGCTGAGTCTCAAACATGAATCACTAGCTATACATGTCTAGTATCACAGAAACAGAATTCTGTAATTTTGCTCTCAGGACATCCAGCTCAAACAGCATTTGCAGAAAACGTATGATCTACTTTTGATAATAATCAATAGCTCCTGATCTTTGGTACCCTCATATCTATCTTTCAGGACCACACCACTCAAGAAAACCTGAGTGACAAACACAAAGTGAGAGGAAGCAAACAGCAAAACCAAGATGTGGTTCCTTCTGATGCAATGCTCCGTCTACTGCAAAATGCATTCCATAGTCAGCTGGTTGGGAATCATTTACCAAAGAAGATGCTAAATGAAAACACAGATATTCCATATGAACATTTCTATCAAGCTCTCGAGAAACTAAACCAAGGCCCCCAGCTGAGAGACTCAGAGGAGTCTCTATATAGTGACTATGTTGACCTTTTTTACAATTCAAAATCATATAAACACAGGGATGACAGACTACTACAAGCTTTGGTTGATATTCTAAATGAGGAAAATTAAGAAAAAGTCCTTGGCAGAAACACTAGGTTGGAAATATTCACATCTCCATTGCACTCCTAATTTCAGACTAATTATCATCTTTCCATGAATACAATTGGCATTATTCTATATTTAACAATTGCCTAAAGAATAAGGAAAACAAAAAGTTTGTTAGATATGAAATGACAACCTATTAATTCAAAGCAATCAATAATCCTTTCAGATAGGCAGCCTCCTTCAGGAACAAGTAAAACCAATATCTCTAGGAAATAGCATAAATTCACTGCAACAGTTGTGTTTATTATCCCTTCTGTTCAAACACAAATACTTTAGATTTTATTTCTATTGGCCTATCTCAAAATGTAACGTTGTTTGGAGATACTAGGAGACTTGTCTGTATTTCTATTATGGTCCCTGAGCACAAAAAAGCATAGTGTGTTGTCCTTCTTCTTGGTAGCTCTCATCCCAATTTTTGAAACTAGAAAGCCACATCCATGTTTTAGGCATATAATACATTTAAAGGTAGCTCAAATGAGATTGAAAGGGGCCCAAGCTAAATGTGCAACCAATAGTATTTCAGACAAAAGGAAACTTGGAAAAGATGTCTTCCCACTGATTTAGTGAGCACTATCCTGTACATGCTTTCTACTAAATAAATCCCATTGATTTCGGTGGGTCTCACTCTGAGATAAATATGCATAGGATTATAACTCTATTGAACTCATGGGGAAGACTTGTAGAAGAAACAAGGCAGTGTCCTCATAATATCCTGCCAATTTCTTTCAGCCCAAATATTGAAATGTATTTATCTTAGACCCAGTTTTTAGTTCCTTTTCCCTCACAGCTTCCTTTTTAAAAACACCTTTCCCCTTTATTTGGGTAAATCTCAACAAATGTGGCACTTCTTCACTCTGTTCTTTTCATCAGGAGAATTTATTACATTAGCCAAGCCAGGCACAGATTTTGGAAAAATCAAAATGTCTGCCCTGTTTATTTCAGAGGACAAGACAAAAAGAGTTTGCTAGCAAAAACAATCTGTGGCAATTGGAGTTAAGTCCAAATGGAAAAGTATTAGATTTTCTCCTTCACTTCTATGAATATCAGCCTTTGTTAGGGTCTCAGGTTCATACAGTTCAAGAGATAGAATTCTCAGAAGAGAGAGAGATTAAAAAAGAAATTCTGAATTTAAATATCAAAACACTGAATAGCATTATAATTGGTATTTTATTTTTTTCACCCATTGATGACACTTTTCCCTTCAAAACTGATATGACCAGAAGCCAGAGTCAAAGACCAGAGCAGCTTTTTAAAGTAATAAAATATTCCTTTTTTAAAAATGGTTTGGCTGTTACATTAGACATGGCAGCATTTATGGAGAGTAAGGATTAGGGTGAAGCCTGTCAGAGACTGGAATAGATAAAAATATGGAAAAGAAATCATGAAGGAAATGAAGAAAAAATAGGCATAAAAAGACTGCAAGATCAGAAGAAGAAAAAAGAAGGGATGGAAAGCAGATTACAGGCTGAAAGCTATGCCTGAAAAATTACTTTCTCATTGAACTATAGGTATAAGAAAAATCATCAATAAGATACAAAATAACATATAAATCATACAGGGTTTTACCTTTTCCCAAGGGGGAAAGTACATGTAGTCAGTCAGTTATTAAAATAAAAACAATCATGTTACCAAAACACTCTATTTTTGCCTCAGAGTTACATTTGGAACCACAAACATTAGACTAGGCACACAGGTTGCCACCATGCCTTAGATTAATCAAGTCTTGAATGTTAGCAAGTTGGTCTTACTGGCTCTAGATGCTGCAAAAATGGGCTGGAGGAATCATGCTGTCCACATTTTACCAACACATGGCTTAAAATCTCAGAGCAAACAATTATCTTATTTGGGAAAAGCTTATTCTCCATTTATTTTACTAGCCATGTGCTTCCAACTACAAAAATGGAGCAACAGGGACATCGTCTGTCCATCAATTGCATGGGAAGACACAATTTGTCATTCTGATCATGTGGTCTGGCAAGATCAGCATGGAAAGGCAGCAGCCACGAGCAGCATAAAATCAGACACACTTCTTACCTGCTGCTAGTGGTTCCTTGCAGGGAAGGCAAAAATCTTGTGTTTTTTAAAAACATTTTGATATTTTGGGAAGAGGTTTCTATGAATTTTATAAATTCTATTAAAGGAACAGAATTATAATAAGAATTATAATTATCCATTTTCCACTTAATTTAAACATGGTATTATTTTTTTCACGGAATAAATTCCATTAGTATTTCTTACCAGTGTTCTGTATTTACAATAAGAGCAGCAGAAAGTTCAGACAAAGAATCACCTAAATAGAAAGCCTGACTAGAATACAAGATTTGCTCATTACTACAAGGCTATCACAAGGAAGAGGATATGGCTTTATTCTCCACAATGACAAAGGGTAGGACAAGAAACGATAGATGGGAGTTTTATAGAGAAAGATATTTAAACTTAAAATTAGGAGAAATGTCCTGATTGTGAGAATGGTTAACTTGCCTCTGATCCTGGAAGTCTTCAAACAAGGTCAAACAATCATTTGCTGGTATAACCTAAGATTTCCTCCCATAACCAGAGGTTTTGACTAGAAGACTTGCAAGGTACCTTCCAGCCTATGATTATATAAGAAACACACAACACATTATAGTGCATTTCCTTTATTAAATAATCAATATCACATATGCACATATCACTTTGGCTGGGTTCATCACTTTAATATGTCTTTTGTTTGGTTTTATGCTATGTGGTTCCAAACACTGTTAAAATAATTCATAGCTTAATGCAATGTGTGGACCCAGTCAGGATTTGAATTCTCACTTCTAACTTAACCTGGGAAGTTTACAAATTTCTGTCCAGAGGGAATAGCAGTAGCATTATTATAATGTAACTTGCCATTCAATAACAGCAGTTGTTGATATAATATAAGATTGTCATGTTCCTTTACAAACATGAATTATACTTGATTCTTTTTTTAGGGTCAGTATCCATATTGTAGCCAAAATTAAATGAAATCTACATTATTTTTGTGCAAATTCTAATATTGTGAATGTTTCCAACCTAGACTGAATCCTAAGAATGCTAAGCTATTTTGGTTAAGTCTTTTCTTGGTGCCAGTATGTGTTTGTGAAAATGTAAAATGTAAAATGAAAGACAAAAATATTCTATGTCAAAGAAAATGAACATTATATTTTCTTTACAGGTATTTATAAAGTATTAAAGCTTTTATCAGATATAATTTAAGAAGAATAAATTATGAGAAACTTTAAAAATAAATAACAAACAATTTTTTATTTGAGCAAAACAGTTTTGTCCAATAAAGATTTTTGGATGGCATGTTGTAATTACAACTGCCACATGTATGTGATGTAATGTTAAAATTTACATTTGTCTAATCGTACATTATACATAATACAACATAATATGTTAGCAGAGCCCAGACTGTGTGGTCTTACCATTTGTAAAGCAACACAACACCAAGCAACTCCCAAAATGAATTAGATGAGAGATATTAGGTGCATTAGTCTAATTGCTGAACAGACATGGAGAGCTAAATAGAATGGAGAAACTATTATATTAGAGACAGCATTTTTAGCAACTTTGTTGGCTATTTTCAGTACATGAATTTGCTGCTAATAAGGTAAGTCATCTTGCTGTATACTATAATGCAAAAAGTCAACAGTTGGTACATTTATATGTGGGTGTGAGATTTGTTAATCCAGTGCTTGGAGTCAACCTTTCCCAACTAGACTCTCTTCACAGGTGTTCATTATAAATGTCCAGAATTCCTTAGGAAACATGAATGGTTGTTTCTTCCTGCTACATATATTGATTAATCCACCTTCATCATAGTGAAGAAATCAGGCTATCCATATGCAGGCATCAATACTTACAACTAAAGAAGACCTATGAAAATATGACAACCTTATTTCCTTCAGCATCAGAGGCATATTTAGTACAATTGTTTTCAGGTGAGCAAACTGTGTTAATGAACAGAATCAGGAGAGTGAAAAATTTGGTTGGTATTACAATACTTAGGTGAGATCATTAATGTTTATTAATTAATGTTTATTAATTAATAAAAATTACTTGATTATTAATTATCAATAAAAAGAATATTCCCAGGTATTGTTATAAGAATTAATTGATGATCATTAATTAATATCAATTAATTAATTATTAATTATCAATAAAAAAGACTATACAAGGTATAGTTATAAGAATCAGTTCCCAAATTTTGTGATATATCTATCTGTTGAATTTCTAGGCCACCCGGCTACAGAGTGACTCTGAATGGCTTCACAAATTAAAAGAAATAACATTATATTTAAAAAAAAAACCTATGTCCAAAGGACAAGATAATCTCAAAGGGGAACAGGCCAACAGATCTGGGGTACTGAGGAAGATTAATAAAGGTCACCTAAAGGCAAATGAGGTGAGGACCATATTGCAATGCTGTTAAAGAAAAGGCCAACTTCTTCAGTCATACTAAAAGCTATTGACAGGATGAGAAGCAGGTCAGCAGAATGTGAAACTATGAAACAGATAGTCCTTTAATTAGCCACGCCCAAAGCTATGTATACTTAAAAACCATCACCTTGAATTGTACCCAGATGCCAATTAGTAAGTTCATGTAGCAAGAGTGTTACATCATGCAGCTTATCTTTTGCTGCTCGTGCTGCTGCATTCTAGACTAGCTGTGATATCTGAGTGGTCTACAAGAAGAGCCTAAGTAAAGTATCTAGAGCAACTGTGAAGTGATCAGAAGATGAGTTATGGTATGGATGGCCTCTTGAGTCAGGAACAAGCATGAATGGCACACCAGTTGAACCTTTGCAAACACCTTCCTAGCCATAGCTGCCATCTACTACTCAAACAGCAGAATAATAAAATAACAAAGTTGGAAGGCACTTTAGAAGTTTTCTAATCCAAATCTTTCCTCAAGCAGTAAACCCTATACCATTTCAGACAACTGGTTGTCCAATCTCTTCTTAGAAACCTCCAGTGTTGGAGCACCCACAACTTCTGGAGGCAACTTGCTCTGTTGATTAATTGTTCTCATTGTCAGGAAATTTCTCCTTAGTTCTAGGTTGTTTCTCACCTTGATTAGTTTCCATCCATTGCTTCTTGTCCTGCCTTCAGGTGCTTTGGAGAATAGGTTAACCCCATCTTCTTTGTGGCAGCCCCTTCGATATTGGAACACTGCTATCATGTCACCCCTAGTCCTTCTTTTCATTAAACTAATACCCAATTCCTGCAACTGTTTTTATATGTTTTAGTTTCCAGTACCAATTTCTCCAGATTATGTACCTGCCCGAAATGAACATATGCAACCATAGGGCAAACATGTAATATCTCCAATACTGGAATTTCCAAATACCCATAGCCACCTGATCTTGTTGCACTAAGCCTGACCTTATTTGTTCTCATCCAGACCTCATCAGCCTCCAGGGCACTAGGATAAGATCCCAACCCTTTGTTTGATCAGTGAGGTGTCAAGATGTACAACCAAGTAATGTCAGCATATCAACAGTATGACCTCCCCAAAAAATCTCATGCACATATTAAACAGGAAAGGTGACTGCATCAAGTCCTGAGGCACCTCACACAGCTGCCCAATAGATGGTCCTAAGACTCATACCTGTCTAATAGAGAGTGGTCACCCAAAAAAGGCCATGTTTGATTAGTGGTTGTCATAAAACTGGAGAAATCATGTTTTATCACCTTATCACCATGATGTAATCCCTAGTGTCAGGTATTACATGTGCTCTCCAACTGGATTCTAGGCATCTTTTTCTGACATTTCAAACAAGGATACATACACCCCAGATTGATGGAGGATGTGAGAACTGATCCCATCTAACAACCTCAATATACAAAAGTCTTGATGTCTTGATTTTGATGTGACATTCCAATCAGATGGATGAGAGAGAAAAAGGAGGAATAAGGGGAATTTTGGAGAATACATTTGCTAGCTTTTGAGTTGTCCCTATCAGTGTCTGAAATAGCTGTATTGGGCATGTTAAAAATAATTAACCCTGAAAAACTGATGCTGTTAAAGAAATGTATATCAATCAAAAGACTACAATCATATTAAAAATGGAGACATAGAATCACATATTTCATTGGGCACATCATAGAAAGATTGAATTTAGCCCACACCTAGTTAAAACTATCAGTACAAATAACACAAATCCTTCATCATAGACATTTTCTTGTATTTCAAAATAATATTTTTGAACATATAATCATTGTAAAAGTTTGTACTGAATCAGCTAAGTTTCTATATTGTCATTCTGCCAAAGAATCCAAGTCATAAAAAAAAATAGCACGTAGGGATGTCCACAAAGAGGTTCAAAAACTCAAGACAGTTGTCACGACTGTGAGATCAAAGTCTTAACCCCTTTTTAAAATCTGTGATCATGTGATCATGGTCACTAGTTTGATTTTTTTTTATTCCCTGTGCAGATGCCTCTACCTACAATGTCTCCAATCCTGAGCCTCCCAAATACTATAGGACTGCAACTCCAATAATTCCCAGCCAGCATGACCTTTATCATGTATTGAAGAATTATGAGAGGTGCCAAGTTCAACAGATCTAGAGATTCAAGGATAGGAGAAGAGAAAAGGGGGGAAAGATGTGGGAAGAGGGGGAATTAAGAAGTAAAGACAAGTTATTCTGAAACAGTAGTTATTTGCAGTTGGGCCTGTCTCCTCCCTTGGTCATTTGGAGAAAGTCAAGCACAGAAAACAGAACTTATTTTTATTTAAGATACCAGAAAGAGCAGATTATGTGGAAATTGTTTTAATACTGATGTTATTTAACTATTTCAGTAACTTGGAATATACAGCTGGTAAAGAAGTGTGCTGTCTTCCCCCACCCTCCACAATTCCAGTCCAGTCTGATTAATATTGGTAGTCAGATATAAATGGATTTGTTGTTACATTATCTTTTAATGCTTTTCTTTAATAATGCTTTCTTTCAATAAAATGCTTTGAATGCTGAATAAGCAGTAATGCAGGCTCCTGCAGCCTGATAAGAAAATGCACTTAAAACAAAATAGCTGCAAGTTTATTAATGAGCTCTGTGTTTCTTCATGGAATAAAGCAATAAAAAGTCAACTCTAATAAAGTCTATGCCATATGCCAGTCCCATTAAAAGTGGTGAGCCAGTGTAACATCCTTTTATTTGGAGACCAAGATATGACCTAGCAAATGTTCTTGTTGATAAGGAAGGAATGTTCCATAATCTATAATTCAAATGGCAAAACAAATAGCAAGTGGCTCAGTGACAAGGATAAAAAAAAAGATGTTAGGTAATAGCTGGAAATGTTAGGGATACTGAACCTATCCCTATCTTGCAACACCTTTGAACTGGTTCTTCATCTCAGGACAAACACTATTTC